AACTTCTTCATCTTTTATTGCAAAATCTTCATGTTGTCTCTCTAAACAAAATGCATACATATAAGGCAGTTTTTCAAGGTAAAGAATCTATAGATTATCAACATTAGACTCAATATTCTTTATAATGGTTTATAAAGTTGTTCTTGCTTTTGGTTACTTGTTTTGCTTTTATTTATTCTGTGTTCAGAAGAATGAGCTCGTAAATTGTTACTGATAGAAAATGGAATATTTATATTTATTAAGGAATGGAAGATGGGATTATTTTTATTCACTCCTTCCTTCTTTAATCTTCACAAGCCACTTTGTCTTTTAGGTTTTTTTTATTGAATGCCATCAGTGAATAAGATGATTCCTTTTAGTTCTAGTTCAGTGAAAAATGAAGGGAGTTCAAACATAAACTATGCAACAGAAATCCATGAAGAGGAATTAAAAAAAAAAAATAAAGGATGGTAATGTGTCTGTAATTGAAACAAACATGTCACAGGAGGTGCCACTAGGCAGGATTTGGCGGGGAACTCATCTAACTCAAGTGTCTGGAAGTGCATGTCAATACCCCAGCTGTATTTTGTGAGCTGTGCTGTGCTGCCCAGCACTCCAGCGTGCAGCAGCTGCCTCTGTGGGGTGTGTGCAGAGCACAGCAAATGATCTGTGGGGCCGCAGTGCCATCTGCTGATGCACCAGTTTGCTGCAGAAACCAGCAGTGTCCAACTGCAAACGTACAGGGCAGCCTTGTCATTTATAACACCTAAATACACCTAAAATAGCACTTGGTGGATGGCTTGGGGTTTTTGTTTGCTGAGGAAGCAGAACTTCTGGCTAGGAAATACACCAAGTATCTTTAGCTCCTTTCTTGACATCTCACATCTTTATAAATCAAAACCAAAGTTCCTACATATCTGCCTTATTTTGAAAATGGTATCTAGACTCCTGTATTTTTTTGGACACTTTCAGTTCTTCTGCCCTGAGATCTTGATGCAATCCAAGCATGTAGGCCGTTGATAAAGCTTGAGGGACATGATTCCTTCATTTGGTCAGTAAAAATCCCTTGTTCCAAACCAAACTGATCTAAGAGCCTATCAGGGTAGCCAGCCTTACCTCCAGTACCTCTGTGCATCCATTCACAGGGAAACCACATGGACCATCAGCCCCCAGGCAGGCTTCTCAAGCCTGCTCCCTTATTTTCAGTGTTTTGCTTCCTCTACAAATGTCCCCAAAGAAAAGACATCTCCTGTGGCTCTACAGATGACCTGTTTCCTCTGTGAAGAAGAGAAGCAGTGATGCAGCACAGTAATGTGTGCTTCTGCTGCCTGCACAGGTCAGTGCAGCAGTGAAGTCACCCACAGGGAAGGAGGATGTAGCCCATGCTGCAGCTGCAGGGCTGGGGAGTTAGTGGTGCTGGCTGAGTTTAGGTTGATGCAAGTGTGCCAGCCAGGATGAGGGCTTTTGCTGTGTTGTGTCTCACCAAATAACTATCTTTCTAGTTTGCTCTTGATTTGCAAAAACAACAAAAAGAGGTCTTGAGGTCATTTGCATTTCAGATAGAGTCCTGACTCGGGCTGCTAATTGATTGGAGATTAACTTGTACACAAACATTTGCTTTCGTGCTCTGAAAAATACAGTCAATTTAGACTGGATTGTTCTCATGCCAGAATGTGCTTCTGTCCTATTCCTACACCAAGCTTGGCTATTGACACACTTTTTTTCTGTCATTATCAGTGCTACCAGTGATTTGCACTGCTCAGAGATTAATGTTTATGCTTTCTTTCCATCCCTGCTTGTCTGAGTAAAACAATTCTATTATCTCACTCCAGCCCTACCTGAAACTAAATTTCAGAACAAGAAATAACCTAATCCTCCACTTTTATGTATTCTTCTTTGGAATTGCAGCTTATCAGAACGTTGGTACTCCTCGATCATTTCAGTCTTGCCAGATACAAGAACTATAGAGACCTGCAAATGTAGTAGTGAAGAGTGCAAGTTCAACGTCTCCCTTTTTCAGGGTCTAAATGTAGGGGTGCAGCCAAGCTATTTTATCATGCCATTACTTTTCTCTCCTTGAGCCTTCTTTGACATTGAACCATCCTCAGTGAGAAGAGGTAGTATATCTTGCAGAGCAGTCCAAGACAGATTTTATCAAAAATTCACACAAAGTGTAGAAAAATAATGAGGATGGCCTCAAGCTAAGCTTTGGAGGCACCACAAGCCTTACTCCTTGCTGTATTTCAACTGGATTTCTTGGGAAAATTTCTTAGCAGTAGTTCCTGCCTAATACCAATTTCCTGCTCCACAGAGACCTTGCAAACTGTGGAGAGCAACCTTCCTGTGATCGACCCAAAAGTTTTAGCACACAACTTTAAAAAATCAGCTTTTTGCTAGATAAGCTTGTTTGATTGAGTTTATTTCAGATCCTAGGCTACTACACCACATGGGACTGTGTCCAATTTCTTTTCTCTGCTTCCTTGTTTTTCAGTTCCTTTCATCCTTCAGGCTGTTCATCTTCTCCTTTTTAAATCCTTTAAGCTGTTGTGTCTCTCCTAGTCCCTCTGAGGGCTTATCTGCCCTATAGTGTGAATGCACCTGAGCTGGCTTTAAATTGCTCAGGCACTGCTGGCCGCAGCTTTGCTGCCAAAGCATCAGCCTGGGAGCAGGAGTGTCCAGCTACTTCAGGAGGTTTTGCAGCCTCTGCCAAGTTCTGCCTTGTCAGGGTTAAGCTGCTGGCAGGTCTTAGGTGAGTTGAGAGCAAAGAGCAGATGCTGCCATCACTGTGATGGCATCACTTTGCTGCAATGTTTATGAAACGATGACAAGGCACACAAGAAGCTGCCATTTGAACAAAACAGGAAAGCTGTCAAACATAAAGATAGCTCTCATTATTGGAATCTCAGTTATTGTTTTACAGACTAAAGTTCTTCCTGGTATTATTCTTCTTAAAGATCCAGTTCTTTGATAATAAGGGAAAACAGATACTACTGATTGAACTGTAGGCTATTCCTTCTTCTGGGTCTTCAGCATCTCTTATCTCTCTTGTTTGCTATATGCACATGGAAGAAGAATGTGCCCTGAGAGAGTATTCATGGACAGCCACCACAACTTGCTGCTTCCAGTATATAACAACTTTAACACAAAGATTTCAAAAGATGCAGCAGACACCAAAACTAATTTATTGAAAGCGTGGCAAGTTCGGTAGTTCTGGCTTTACAATGAATGAAGTGAACAACAGCACGGTTAACACTCAGCAGAGTTCAGGTGGCAAATCTGTGGCAGAATTGTTTATATTGTCCACATATGCTGCCAGGATGAAATCAAAGTTCATGAGCAAATTCCCTATAGTGAAACAATTTTTGTACCTGTATGCATTGCATTAAATTATTTTATTTTATTTTATTACTTTTTCATGGTTGAGAAGGATTCAGATGATCTTGATCAGTGAAAGATGTAGTTCAAGGTTTGGAACAGACTAAATACACACCTGAATATGGCTGACTTGGAAAAGTGATGCACCTGAAAGATTCCCTATAGTAAAATTACTTCAAACTTCTTGTGAATAGTTTATATCACTAAATTTGTCCAATGCATCATATTAGGACCTATGTCTTTGTATGGACAAGATTAACAAAGTGGTAGCTATAGAAAATATAAAAAATATCTAGTGCAATAATTTTGGCTTTTCTTCATCAATTCAGAAGCCAAACTAAACCCGTGTGTTTAATTGAGTTTCCTTTTACTGCTGCGCCAAGGATACAGGAAGATTTGAAGTTAATTAAATCTTCTGGCATGGTACATGGGTCCCACAGAGGAGCATTTCAGATGAGAGGAGGTGCAGCCAGAAAGTGGTATAAGTGTGGCTTTCGAGCCAGCAGGACTCCCAGCAATGCTTATGCTGTTCTGGGAATTTAAGGGACTTGAAAATAGCTGAAAGGCAAGTTCTCCTTTACCTCACCTGCACCAGTGCAAAGCAGACCTGTGATACAGGCAAAGAGTCGCCCTTTTGAGAGTAACACATTAAGTTAATTATTTGTATTTTGAACATCACTAAAAATGTACAAGGATTTGAGAGTGCCAACTTGGCCTGTGCAAAGCAGCTGAGCCGCTTGAAAACCTGGCATATCTGGTCTACTGACTCTGCTGGGAAGGCAACTTGACTCGAGCTCTGAGAGCCTTGTTTCTACAACTACATCTGTGATTTGATATGCAAGTGTGAGTTCTGCTGAAATCAGCAGGACACTGACAGGACTAAAAGCTTTTCAGAATGGGACAAATTTAAATGTGTCTTCTGTAACTGTCTGACTTCTCTGTGCCTAGGTCAAAACTAAAGTGTCTGATCTGTTTATGTGGAACCAAAGGCATGTCCCTTCCCCCTCAGTAGCAGTCAGGCTGATTAACAATTGCAACACTATTTTATCTTGTTATGCCTCGAAATGTGACCCTCCTAGAACTAAACAGATGTGCAATTGTAGGCTAAGTTGACTTCATTAGTAAAACAGAATAAAACTGCTCAGCATATTGGGTGTTATGTATGTATGTCCTAGCAAACAGAATTCTGCATTAAAATCAGTTGAGTTACATATCTCTTTCTGGGGAGCAGGCTGTTTATTTGCTTTTTTTTCAATTTTTAACTTCTGCAAATTGTTACACCAGATGGCCTGTTGAGCCAACAATAGATCATCATGTCTCACCACAATGGGATCCCTTTCTGGCTAACTTGAGTCAAAGCAGTTCAATATCAGTCCTCACCAAGCACATTCCCAACAACTTCACCTTAATTATTTCTCTCCATCTGGTCCATGGTAGTATAAGCGATTTCCTGCCTCTTTGCATAGCATCAGAAATGCACATAAATAAGCAATTTAATGCTGAATTCTTTTGAATACATTAAATCCCATTTGTGATGTTAGCAGATCCCACACTTCCATGGGTAACTGAATACTAATTATGGTAAAGAGTTGAACAATTTACTTCTTCTGTTTTTAAATTTCACTCTCTGATTTTTAATCCCACAGAGGTCTCAGTCTGCATTCTCCCTGGCTAGTGAAGATATGGCCAGTAAAGGACAAGACCCTGCATCATCTGTGGCCGAGGCCCTTGGGAGGCAGCAAAAGGGACAGTCCAGGAAGCAGAAGGAACACAAGCACTCTGCTTTACCCAGCTGGAAGAGTGTAGACAGGCTAAATGAAACAAGTAAATATTTCTAGTACGAATAAGATTCTTTTTTTGGTTCTCACTCATGTGTGGAATAAATACAACTTAAAGCAAGGACCTTCTCTAGGGCATTTCTGCTGACCTTTGTGCTTTCAGAGGTCACATGTAAAATGTCTATTTGATGTTGCCATGTCACAATTTCATTGGGCTATGTTATTGCTTATCTTTCTTTTAAAAAATGTATTCAAAATTTGGGTCTTTGTGAAGTTGATTTTAGGCTGCTACAAAGTTTATACAACTGGTTTGGATATATTTCAGGGCTTCTAAGACACAAGAGCTCAAGGGCCTTTCTTTGTCATTGGTAACCTGTCCTCCAGTTGAGGGAGTTTGCAGCCCATTGTATCCCTTCCATGACACAAGGTTACTGTTCATGAGCATTTGTGGTGAGCCAGTCATTAAAATAATTCACATTTAGAATTCCTCCTTACAACTTTATTTTCAACTCTGATGAATTCACAAATGCAGTGTTCTGTGCAGCCCTACTCACTTGTGCTTCCAGACTTGTCTCAGGAAGCTGTATGTGTAGGAACTCCACAGACCAGCAGCTCCCCTGGATCTGACCGCTGTCATCATGCATTAGGTATAGATGTAATATGGATGATGGATAGTGAGCAGCTTTCCAAGTCAGCTCCATTCCTGCCTGAATCAGCACCCTGGATAGAATGCAATTCCCTGCTTACTTCTAGATCACATAAACACAGGTTGTAACTGTAGAAGATACCAATCTGTATAAGTATCTCAAGGGAGGGTGTCAGAGGATAGATCCAGGCTTTGCTCAGTGGTGCCAAACAATAGGATAAGAAACAACAGGCAGAAACTGATGCACAGAAAGTTCCACCTGGATATGAGAAAGAACTTCTTCACTATGCAGGTGACCAAGCGCTGGAACAGGTTGCCCAGAGATGCTGTGGAGTCCCCTTCACTGAAGATATTCAAGAACCTGGATGCAATCCTGTGCCATGTGCAGGTTGGTTGGACCAGCTGACCCACCGTGGTCCCTTCCAACCTAACCCTTTCTGTGCTTCTGCAGATGTGGCTCCTGCTCTTGGGGTGCTCCCATTTCCATTGCCTCTCTTGTTCTGGCTGAAGCATTTGCAAGGCCTCAAGAGTGTAGCACCAGGCAACTCCCTCACTCTAATGTTGGTTAGTTTTTACCCCTACAGTTGCACAAGAGGAAGAGCTGAACTCATTGCAGCAGCATTCCCTGGTTCCAAGTGTTGTCATCCCATGGCAGAATCTGCCCATTCTTGCTTCTTCCCTTGTAGCAGTTGTAGAGCCATCTGACCCCTGTAGCACACTGGTTCATGAAGCTGCACAAGCAGAAAACTTCTTTTGTGGGGTGAGTTCACTGGTGCTGTAGCTCCCACAGCTGCCCCACTAGGCACTGGCAAGTGCAAGCAGTTGCAGGGTGTGTTTGGGTTTGGCGGCGACCAGGGACTGGGGCTGCTAGGTGTTCAATTTGTTTATCTGTAATGCCAGTTGGTAACTGGGGAGACTGAAATTTAGACAATTTCAGTACTTCTCTTCCCCCATGTAAGAATAATATTAAAGTAGCACTAAAATCTAACTTAACCAAGTATGCATTACTCTGTGAATTTCTTAACCAGCCCACTGTCAGAAGTGTTTTTCTCCTGGGCATTTTAGTGGAAGGCCTATTTTCAGTAAAGCAGTTAATTTGCTCCTAAAGTTTAAGCACCCACTTGAATCCCATTGCATTCAACTGTTGAGCAATTTAGTATTTAGCAATTGCTTAACCACAGCAGAATCACAAATTGACCTGGGTTTTTTTGGGCACTCTACACAGAGGATTTGTTCTGCTTCTTTCATCTAAAAACACATTTGTGATGAAAGTGTGGTGCCTATTGAGCTAATAGTAAATAGCTGACTGTGCTAATATCTGTAAAAAGTGGTCTCACCTATGCAGTATTAAGCAGCTTTGTATTATGATACAGAAAATAAGAGAAATCTCAATGAAGAGTTTGGTGTGGTAACATCAATGGGCCTTTTAGGCATGTAGGCAAAAAGTAGTTCACAATTAATTTTGGTTACAGTTCATATTGGTTTAAATGGTGACTCAAGAGCTTTTATCAATAGTCTTACAATGAAACTTCTTCAATCTTTTTTTCCTTTTCACATGAATGAATTATAGCTTATGCCCAAAGAATTGTGTGAAAAAAAAAATTCTTTCAAGTGATTTCATTGTGGAAAATCAGGAAGGGAGCACTTGACACTGTAGAATAAAAGTGGGATAAAGCTGAGTCAGCTTTCTGAATATAAAGGTCTCAGTTGCTTTCTACCCTGTTTGTCCTCTAAGATGTAATCAACTAGTATCCTGTCCTTTCTTCAGTTAATTGAGGTTGGCAGACTGCTTCTCATGTGGTGTTGTTAAATAGAATAAGGGAATATGGTTTGGGGGAGAAAAAAAATTTGTGGCTCTCCATTACCTTTGTGCAATATGGTGCAGCTGAATTCAGTTCCTGTTGGAGATTTATATCCTGCAGAGCTGTTGGCTTTGTTTGAAGGAACAATGTTTTAAGGAAAGTTCTTTCTCTCAGAGGAAGTTCTTTCTCTCAGAACCCTATACTTAGATTTGTTAGTATAGTTAAGAAAAGTAAACAAGCAGGAGTTTCTTGTGCTTGATAGCTTGTTTGGATTTTTTTTTTCTCCAAAATCAGGGGTTAATATAAAAAATTATTAGTTCTCCTTACACACCTGACTTCCGTTATATCCTTGCTTGATCAGTGCTACAAGAGAACTAGTATTATTTTGATTTCCTTTTAAGCAGGAGTAAGAATTATATTTTCTCAAGTTCTCTAAATTGACTTAAAACTTAGGAAGTGAAAACAAGCCAAAAGGATTCAAATGAGTAAGAAATGCAAAAGTTGTCATAAAACTCTCATAGCTCCTAAGTTTAATTGCAATTTAATTTTTGTTTTGTGTTTTTGTGGGAGTGTTTTGGTGATGGTAGTGCACCTCTGACTGTTTTTTTTTTTTTAAACTACGCACAGCTTACTGCATACTAATGTTCTTTATGACCAGCTCCAGGGAAAAAGTAATCTTCATTTCATCCTAGTATTTGTAACCATCTAATGCAAAATGCCTAATTATATTCTACAACCCACCCAGATATTGTGTCCGTTTGAAAATAGTGATGTTCTGCTTACATTATGAGAAAACCAATGGTTTATATTAAGTATTTTTGTAGGTTTCTAAAAATAACAAATTTGAACCCATGGGAGGAATCCTTAAGTCTGAAAAGTTCATTAAGTAGGCTGGATTACTGTGTAAATCCATGGCATTATATATTTTTCAAGTGCTGCAGAAGGCAGAGTCATCGCACATCCATACTTCCCAGGAGGGGGATTTTCAATTTTGATTGGAAATTAAATCTAAATTTAGAAGAAATAGAATTTGCGGAGTTAAGAGAGTTAAAGAGCACTTTCTGGCCATATTTGTTGACTTGTTTTGGTTTTTATGTTGGAATTGTAAAACATATTCTGAAAGTGTGGAAGGATACAAGAGCAGTAGTGCTTGTGTCAGAATCAGCACATTTGGTATTTAGTCTGGGGTACAACAATAGCAGCCATAAGCAAGAGTCTAGGAGAGATTAGGACAAAGTAAGTATTTTTCATACTGCCTCTAAGTAGGCTCTGAATCTCTAGAACTGTCAATTTAATTACTATCTCAGCTAGAAGTGCTTTTCTGTATTCAGTAAATTTTAGTGGATTTCTCCTCCATGTTCATAGCCCTCTCTGTTTTATCACGGATAATTTCAAGCATCCACAACAACCTTAGGCAAGAAGTTCCATAGGTCTGGTATCCATTGCATCACACTACTTTCTTTTGTTTGTTTAAAACCTTGATTTCTCTAGCTTTATTTCATGCCCTGTAGTAGTTAGGTTGGAATAGATTCCCCCATCTCTTTTAGTATGTATTCTCTCAGTCTTCTGTCCTCCAGATGGCAGAGCTCTGGCCTACTTAATCATTCCTTGAATGGACACCATTTCAGAACCTGGTACAACCTATGTTGCTCTTCTCTGATTCTTTTTCCATCTTTCATTTTCAATGTGGGGGACCAGAATTGCACACCATTTGCAAAATTCAGGATTTATGCATGCCCGTGTTCTTATGTTCCATCAGTCTTTCCTAATCATTCTTTTCGAAAAAAACTTTGGTCCAAGTATTCTCCCATTTTAGTCATAACCATGACTTAAAGTGGTGGCTTCTGAGTAGTAGGGCAGCTTGGCTTTCAACATGGTAGAGTTCACGTGGCAGCAGCACTTGTATTTGTTTGTTGGTTTTGTCAAAACTTTCAGTCTGTGGCAAGTAAAAGCAGCCACTCACAGTGTGATCACAGCTGTTCTCGTTTCCTTTCCATAGGTCCACCTTCTGTTTTCCAAAGCACCGATGGAAACTGGGTGGCTTTGCAGAACGTCACCCTGCCTCGTCCTCGAATGCTGGCCAAACCAAAGAGTCAGGTGTTCAAAGCTTTGGAGAGCGAGTCCAGCATTGTGTCTGCCTATGACGAGATGGGCTCGGACAGCGAGGATGACTATGACTGGCACGTGGCCTTGAACAAGCTGCGGCGGAGACCCCGGCAATTGCCAGACGACTTCTATTACTCCAATTCCCAGTATGGTACCGAGTGGGCTTATGGCAACGATCAGTGCCAGACAGTGACCTCCCCCTCCTCTGGGTTATACACCAACACTGAGACACTGCTCTCCGATTCGGAAACATCTTCAGTAAACTCTTCCCAGGAAGCTAAAGGACCTAGCAAACTTCTCTGGTTGCAAAGCAGAACTCAAAGGGATAGGCCCAGAATGGAAAAGAAGCACTTCCATGGAGAACTAGATGTAAATTTCAATCCACAGGCAACTAGCTTGGAGTATTCAGACAGCAGTGAGACTGAAGGAGTCCATTATGATTTAGAAAAGAGATCAAGAAGGTGGAAGAAGAACAAAGCCATCTCTGAAGACTTATGTGAAGAAAAGAATCAGGCAAAAGCCAACAAGATGAATTTAAGTCAGGTAATTGTGTTTGAGCTTATCAAATGCATTTTCAAAAAGAGATGGGAAAAACTAATTAAACCATGCTGGCAATATCATGTGAATCATGAGTGGGAGGTGGAGTGTTCTTGCAAGCTTTATCTTCCTTATGTCTCCTAAGTAAGAAGAAGAAAAAGCAGGGTGTTAGACAGACTTTACCTTTTTCTCAAATAGGCCACTTTCATCCAATCAAAGACTTCGTTAATGATGTAAAATACAGTGCTCTTAAGAAAAAAACCCTCAGGATTTGTCAACAGCTGAGAAATGTTAATTAATCACTTATTTTGTTGTGCTGGGGTTTTTTTTTTTTTTTTTTTCTGTTTTCTTGGTATAAGAAATAACTCATATGCCTGGAAATCTGCTCTGCAGTGTCTACAGATAATCTGGTAAGGAATAAAGCTAATGAGCAGCAGAAATTCAAAAAGGGCTTTTTGTGAAATCCAGTCCAAGTGATGTCTGTTTTTAGTTGGTCATCTTAAGATGAGTTCTGATGTGATAGGGCGAGAGTTTGCAAACTGCTTCCATTTAAATAACTTGTCTCTTCATTAAGAAAACAAACAAAACCTGAAGAAACAAGCAAAAACCCCAGACTGTACTATCTCAAACTCCAAAAAATTGTTCATACAGCTTGAAGACAGCAAACATTTGATTTAAATTACAGGTGGATAACCAAAAAGCCAAGTCTCCTCTATTTGGAGTTTGTCCAGACCTGGGACTGATATTAAGGGATCCATTTGTTCCCCAGAATTTTGTTAGCAGTGCAAGCATACAAGCTCAGGAGAACATTGACCCCTTGTCCAGTTCCATTTCCCACATCCTACCCCTCTTAAATCCTGAAGCTGCATCATTGCTGCAGCAGGGTAATAATAAGCCTGAAGCAAGGAACTGAGGGCTGGCTTCTCCCCGTGTTTTTGATTACAAGCAGCCTGATTCAGTCTTAAAGCTATCTGACCAAATTTAGGATGCCTGGAACAGTTTTTCTTTCCTTGTGCTACTAGCCTGTATTTCCTATAGAAAAACATCACTACAGCTGATTCTAAGTCAATATTAGGATTCTAGATTTCAGCAGGGTTTTAATGCTGGATGTCATTAATTCTGGACCCATTCCATCTGGTTTTAGGACAGAGTGTGCGTGTTCAGGGTGTTCTGTACTGATTCATTCACACTTTTGTCCTCATATATTTAAAATCAACAGTTCTCAAAGGGAAGTATGATGTAATATAATGTGATCTGATGACACATCAGTGGCCATTATTGACTTCCTGGAACATCAGGCAGAATTACAAGGCTTTACAGGGACTGCACAAAGATTATATCTTGTACACAGACTTCTGCATTTAGCTTTATGACTTTGTTTTCTTTCTTTCGTGACCTCTGTGTGTCTGTATTCATATTGTGGCTTCCTAGTCACAGTAGACAATATACAGAGCATGGAAGATCAGAGCTCACAGAGAAAGTCCTGGAGACTTTATAGAATCATAGACTCATTTAGATTGGAAACACTTTTAAGATCATCAAGTCCAGCTGTTAACCCTGCACTGTAGGGCTGACCACAAAACATTGTCCCTAAGTGCTATGACTACATGTCTTTTAAATACCTCCAGGAATGGTGTATTAATCATTTCCCTGGGCAGCCTGTTCCAGTGCTGGATAATCCTTTCTACAAAGAACTTTTTCATAATATCCAATCTAAACCACCCCCCCCACCCCCCGCTTGTCCAGGTGAGGTCAGAAAGGCAGGGTGCTTCCCAAACATCTGTGTTGGCATCCTTTAGCATCTTAGTGTGTGCTTTAAAGTGCAAAATTAGTGGAAAATTAGATACTTCTTTCCCAAGTCTTTGTGAGTTGCTTTGTCTCTTATAACCTCTCTGATGTGCTGAAAGTGCAAGATTGAGAATTCTAACCCTCTCTCCTCTTCATTTTACCCTTGAGGCTAAAAGAGGCTCTTCCTTCTCCCTTGCTTCCTCAGCCTCAGTGGGGCAAGCAGAGGCACAGTGCCTCCAGATCATGCCACTGTTTCCAGAGCAATGAAATTCTCACTAGGAAGTTTATGTATGGGTGGGTTTGCATGTGTTTATTTGGTTGAACAATTCTAGGAAGCAAGTAAAATTGCAATGTGTGTGCGGAACCTGATTTAATGTATGAAAATGAATTAGCCAGACATCATTTACAGTGCTCAGGTAAATGAGATTAAAGGGATGTCAGAGTTTCATATATTCCCCAGAATTACTTATTGATCTTGGTAAAATGATTGATTTGAGGCTGCAGCAGGGAGAGCCCTACATATAAACAGTTCTACAAAATTATAATGCAGGTGTGTAAAGAATTACAGTGATACATAGCCTTAAGAAAGATTGACTGCAGGGTCTTAAACGAGGCATAGCTTTTCACATTATGAGATTATGCAGAGATTGCAGAGACCATACAAACTCTTGTTGAACCAAGATATTAGACAGTGAATAACTGATTATATGTCAGTTGCAGTAAAGGAACACTTTTTCAGTACTTCACTGCATTGGAATATAATCTTATTTTACTGCATTGTAGTAGTAAGATGATAATTTGTTAACCATTATGTTTCGTCATCATTGTAGAACAGGATTTCAGTTTATCAGTCTAAAAGTTGGGGTTTCATTTTTAATTTTCAAATAGTGAAAGTTGCTTTCTTGTTTTTTACTCTCCAGGTATCTCAGTGAGATGAAAACAAGCCCTTTTTCTTTTTTATTCTGAGTCTAGGGAGTTGTAAGCAGTTATGGAACCTGCTTACAGTTTCTGGAAAAACTGTAGTCAGTTCATAACTCATAACTGAATTTCAATTTAAAATTGGGTATTTTTTAATCAGGATCCAATTCCTAGATTAAGATAATGCTGTGGCATTTTTTAAAAAATATATTTTAGACACAATAATGGAATGCCGACTTTGTGACTGAGAGAGAATTTTTTGTTTAAAGTCTTCAGTGCCTTAGAAGGGGAAACCTGAGAACAGATACCAAGATGTGCTGTATCTGTGGAATTTTTTGCTTAATGAGAGGTAAAAGAACAACCTCCTTTACTGAGCTGTCTGTAGAGATACCATAAACACAGTCATGAAGCAAGATATGAAAACTATCCTGATAAAACCAGTCCTGCTATAAGTAATATCGGATTGCTTATATACCACAAAAGACATATTTCTGAGGTAACTGAACTGGAAAATGCAACCTTGCTTTAAATGATTATTTTTCAAATGGTAACTTCTTACAAAAAATGGGCACTTAATCCACCAATAATTATCTGCTTTTATTATTAGTAATTGTAATAATAGTTGATACTATTAGTAATAATGATTATTGACTCCCATTATCTTTTTGAGAGAAGGATATGACTGTTGCTTAATGTAGCTGAAGTTCTTATGTTTCTGATGCAAACTGGAGTGCTTAATTGCTTCAAGTGAAAGAAGTGCCCTCATTATGAGTTTGCTTCTTTGATCAGGAGCCCCCACCTGTTAATTACAGCCCTGCAGCCAGGTAAGGGGTGAGCACTGTCAGGCTGCCTGCTCCCACGGGATGGCGCTTGGGATGCATTCTTTGAGAGCAGCTCCCTGAAATCACTCTGGCTCTTGATGAGAAACTGCCTGCAAACCTCACAGTTTGTGTATTCTTCTAAAAATTTTCATTTCCAATTTTTGGTTTCCTAGATGAAGGGAACTTTCTCACAGGAATTTATAGTTGAACATAGATTTTGTTCTGGAGCATCTTTTTTTTGTATTTCGTTTCCATCTACTCTGATTACATTGAGTTATCAGCGATTTGTGTGCAAGGATTTGGACACTTTTTGTGAGTAAAGGTGTATTTGTTGTTTTCATTGTCTCCTAAAAGACTTATGCTTGCATAGAAACACTTGATTTTCTTTTAGTGAAACTGGGTTCATGGCTGTTTCAGTCTGCCAGACCCTCACAGAAACTCAGTTTTCAGATGAAATGGTAGCCCTTTATTCTTGTTTGCAGTTATTAGCATAATGTATTGCTGATTGATGCAAATGGGAATTTACACAATTATATGGCACAAAAATGTCATTAAACTTACCAGAAAGAGTGAAAACACGAACAGTAAAGTAAAAGAGAATTTAATGGATCTATTCACTAATAATAGTAGTACCTTTCAGTTTATTTATTTTATTGTTTTCATGGCTGCTAATGCATTTTTTAACTTGTCAGTCCATGAAAGAGGTATAATCTCCTCACAAATAATTTTCTGCCACTATCTGAAAAGCCCAACACACAAATCAAGCAGCCTTCTATTAACAGAAACCACTAAGTGCAGCAGTGTAAGGTATCATTATCTCTGCATGTACACAGGAATTAACAGCTCTAGCCAATACAGATAACCCACCCACTCATTTAAAGGAAGCTGGAAAGCTAATAAACGGGTTATAGACATACCTGAGCCCAGTGTAATACAGTCAATGCTCTCAAGAAACAATATGTATTCAAAACACAGATTTAGCTAATGCAGAATGAGACTCTGGAGTTGCCAAGGCATCTCATTACTTTCATCTGTGCTGGCAGACCTAGCAAAAAGATCTTTAAGTTGCTGCCATGTGTGATTCTATGAAGCCTGGTATTTTGGGGGGATTGAGAGGAGTTGTCATATTGCTGTTGTCAATACAGATTCTTTAGATTAACTAGTGGGGCTTCCCATGGGTGTATCTGTGCACTGCTACTCCAATAAAGCTGCTAAGCAGTTAAAGCTAAGCAGATCTATTTAAGAAGCCCCCAGAGGACTGGTGCATGTCCAGCTGCACAGTGAAGTCTGTCAGTACAGAAGTGAGGAGGAAGTGTGGGAAAATCCACCACTCTGGACTGCCGGCCTCCCTCACTGCTCCACTAGATTTTATACACACATCTGTAACCTCATCTGAACCAGGATAACAAATTCTTGTCTGTACAAGACTGATCTGCTCAAATGTCTGCATAGAATGGGATTTTCTTCTTTTCCTTGAAGACTTGATCTCAAGGTAAATTGTGTTCAGTCTTCCTCAACACTGCTAGAGTAAGCCCACACCCCTAGTGCAGAGCTGTAATCCTAAACCAGGTTTTGGTAGATCAGAGCTGTACCAATTTTTGGAGGCACCAATTAAATAAATGGAGGTCACTCAAGTAAAGAGGAGTTCCATTAATTAGCTTAGACTAGATACCAAGCTATAAATACCTCAGGTTTAATAAGCTGTATCTTCACTAAACTGCAGTCTCATAAAATACAAGCATACAGTTTGGCTGGGCTTTCTGTCCTGTATATCACATAAATTATGATTGTTTCTTTCCTGGGTAAAAATTGATGGACTGATTGATTCAGCAGCAGATTTCAGGGGTATTTTTAATAGTAGCTTAGTGACTTGTGAGTATTGGTCATTTGGCAGATTGTTGGTTGGAGTGTAATACTGATATTTGTAATGAGTTGTGGAGTGATGTGCAAGAAACATCTGAAGAAAACTTCCCTTGCAATTTGAGGAAACATCGTTATGGTAGAGATTAATTTAAGAGGTCAAATGCACCAGTCTTTTACATGTATATAAGAGAAGGTCATATTATAAAACTGAAGTGAAAGCACACTGGTTTTAAATCTTGTTTTTGATCATTGAACAGCTTTTTAGCAGAAAAAGCTTTTTATTTTGCAGAAGCTGATTGTTTGGGAAAAGAGTTTCAGCATAAACCCATGGTTCCCCTTCCATTGTGGCTCTCAAATTTCTGTTGTTCCTTCAAATTCTGATTTTCTAAAAGGGCCTTCTGCATACTGAAAGTGAACTATAAAGGAATAATTTAGTTGTGTAATTGATTGAATTACAAATAACTGCTGACAAAAATTGTCCAGAACACTGTGAAAGTGCTGAACACTCCAGTATAGTTTACTGTATGAAAGATGAGAACTGACATTATGAACATGATGTGTCAATCCCTTAAAAGCAATTTGGGGGTATGGTTTGTGATGGAGTGGGCAAAGTTAACATTTCCTGTGAGAACTGGAGGTAATTGGTTCATCCCTGAACAGTGCTGCTACAGCTGCTCCTGTTTATGTATTTCCAAATGAATGGAAGACAGAACACAGATTTTAGTCTCTCCAGCAGTGTCTGGTCTTGTCACAGTATGAGAACCTAAGGCAGATAGGAATAATTTCCTCTCTGAGAATTGCTCCAAATCATCCTCCTAGGCCTGCTGAGATGTGCCTGCCACTCTGGTCCCAGGCTGAATTCTTCATAACCACCTTCTAGGTGGTTTTGCACAACTATGTTCCATTTCAAAATATCTGTCACTTTTAAACCTACCTAATACCATCTTATTTCATGGACTTGGCTGAAGCACCAAGCAAGCTAATGATTCAAAACTTTCTCTCAGCAGTCATCAGGGAGAGAACACTTCCAGAAGGCAGCAAATGCTATAGGTGGAACAGGTTGCTCTGGGAGGTGCCTGTCTCTCTCCAGGGACTGTAGTACAAATCAGGGCAAATTGGGTCCTAATCAGACAGCACAGATCCAGAAAATTAATTGATACATACCTGGGGATTAGTTTGTAGAACAACTATGAGATATTCTCAGAATTTGTCAGCAAGGGCTGACAAAACTATCCCCCTTTCCACCTTATTAAATGCGGGGCAAAGATTTTGCTTTTCTTCTCTTCAGCTTCCAAGGGGACTTGTGGCCGAGTCTGTAGCACCCACTGTATTTAATTGACCCTTTAAGTGTTTCCCAGCTTTAAGGATCCAAGACTCAGAACAGAAGGTGCTCCTGAAGACTGAACTTGCTTCACAGAGGTTGGCATTTGGAAAAAAAAATCATCTCTGTAGAGGATCTGCTTATGCAAATAATCACTGGGAAAGCTGACAATTTAAGCCACATCATGTAACAAAAGAGGAGTTTTTCAAAACTTGTTTCCAGCAGTTTTTAAGAATAACATGGATAATGCTCAAGACCAAGCAATCAGGGAATGAAAGCACAGCTTTCAACTGAAAGCTGAACACAACTGCCAGGTTACAGTTATTTCATTCCCACACCACACTTTTATCTGCACTGTGCCTGCAAGGGATGGCAGTGCTGGAAATACTGGCATGTATTATTAGTTGCACCCAGATACATAGTGATTTTCAGTTCCTTTTTAGATAACATGAAAGTTAGAAGGAATGATGAATATAATCCAGCAAGTGTTGGTTTACTGGCATTCCTTTTTTATTAGAACACTTAGTGTGCTTTCTTTCTGGCTTCCCTGCAGAGTGATCATACCTATATTTTCTAGAAAGCTAGAAAAATATAGCTAGAACTAAAATATAGCTAGAACTTTTTCTTTCTATGCCTACACAGGATTTTATATGGTTTTTCTAATGTCTTTGTAGGATTTTGATGATTTATCAGAAACAGATGTAAGCAATGAGTATCAGCACCATGATGTCAAGCCTGAACTTACGGAGGACGAGCTTAAATCCAGGTTATTTCAGCTTGCTGCTAAAATGAGTGATAAGGAAACATCATCTGGTGAAGAACAAGAGTCAGAACCTGGAATAGATCTGGAAAACCAGAAGGAGAGTTTGTCCTCGGAGGAAAATGGCAAAAGTATCCAGGAAGAGTTAAAGAAGGTAAGTGGTAGTTAGAAAGGAGTAGGAATAGTACTCTAAGAGTTAGAATGCAAAAAGGAAAATTCTGGCTAGAAAACTGAACACAGTTGCTTAAAAAAACCTGAAGTCCTTTATACTGGTCTAAGCCTGAACCTCTTGTTCAGATAAAAGTTAATGTTTTCCTCTCTGTGAGGAACAAAAAGCCTACAGCATCAGTTCCAAGCAGGGAACTTAGCCTGTGCAACAAAACTGTTAACTGGGTGATATTAATGGAATTATGTCAACTTATATTAACTGAAAATGGACTTACACTTTTGGATTTTAAAAGCATATCCAGTTTTTCTTATTTTGTGTCCTTGCTAACCAGTGGTTTTTTCCATCCTTTTAGTTGCTCCTCCCTTTGTAGTATTATCTAGTTCATGCTGATGACATAGATTCTTCTTTTGCATTTCTATAAAAATATTTAGTGTTTCTTTAAAGCTTTCCAACCCTGTTGCCCTGTCAGCTAATAGGCTTCTGAGAGTAGTAACATTTTCTAATGAAACTGAAATTTGGTGTCAGTTCTAATAGTGCCTGAGATCCTTCCTTTGTGCCATTTCACCCTTACAGTTTAACTACCAGATTTCAGTGTCACTCACAGGATTTACCACCTCCTCTCTTCCCTCTCTACCTCTGAATTTTTCTTCAGATTGTGTGGTTTGCTTGAATTTAGTGCTAGAGGAGCCCAGTGGTGCCCCTTTCCAGTCAAGCACTCTAATTCCTTAGTTCCACTTAGGTTTATTCTAGTTTGCTGCATATCTTGACTTGCCTTTTGGGGTATTGTGTGCACAGCAGCTCAGCTTTGACAAGGAATGTGGACAACTCTCTAAAGGAAATCTGTTTGTCATAATTTGAAAGATGTTTTGTTATATTTGTTATATTTTTCTATATATTTTGTATATTTTGTTATATTTGTTATATTTTTCTATATATTTTGTATATTTTGTTATATTTGTTATATTATGAAAGGTGTTTAGTTCATTATATAAAGAGCTGATACACTGGGAGGTGAACACAGGATGGAGTAGTCCAGGCAGATGATAGAGGTGCTGTCCAAGAATACAGGAACGGTGTCACAAAAGCCAGTGCCCATCTGGAGCTGAATGTGTCCAGAGACACAAAGGGGGAAAAAGGTGTTCTACAGGTCCATGAGCAGCAAAAGGCAGATGAGGGAAAGCTGGGCCACTACTGCAGTGATCTGGTGACACAGAACGTGGAAAAGGCTATTACACAACATTGTTTTCACCTCAGTTTATGGGTAAGATTTTCCCTCAAGAATCCCAGGCCCCTGAGACCTATGGGAAAGCCTGGAGCAGTGAAGGCTTATCCTTGGTAAAGGGGGATAAATTTAGCAAACATTTCAAAAACTGGGATCTGCACATGTGCATGGTGTCTGATGGGGATGCACTTCCAAGACCTGAGGGAACTGGCCCGTATAATTGTGAGGTTTATCTTTGAAAGATCATGGTAATCTGAGACATTCAGATTCAGAGAGCTATGAGTATTGTTTATTTTGGCTTTAACAAGACTTCTAGCAGTCAAATGCAAAGGGAAATGCAAGTCCTGAATATGGGAAGTGATTAGCTTATGCATCTCTGTTCAGTGAAATTGGTGAGACCATTTTTGGAGTGCTGTGTCCTGTTTGGGGCTCCCCAATAGAAGGTACACATGGACACATTGAAATGAGTCCTGTGAAGGGCCACAGAGATGATTAAAAAAATGGGGCATCTATCGTATGAGGAGAGGCTGAGAGAGTTGGAATTGTCTATCCAAGAAAAGAAGAGAAGGTCTGGGAGAATTTCTTCAATGTATTTAAATATCTAATAGGGGAGAATGGGGAGTGTTTGTTATGGGAAATAAAGTGGAAATGCAACTCTTTCCTCCGATAGGAATGGAAGCAGTGGGCACAAACTGAAATACAAAAAATCCCATCCAAATGAAAAGCTTTTTCACTGTGTTCCTGTTTAAATACTGGAATAGGTTTCCCAGTAAAGTCTATGTTGTTGGATACAATCGAAATCTGACTGGACAACAGCCCTGGGCATGTGGTTTGAGCGGAAGAGTTGGACTAGGTGATCCCCTTACATTCCAAATATAAGGAGCATGTGACTCTTTGATTCTGAGTTATTTAGCCATGGACTACACAGGAGTGTAAATACCTTTGTTATCACATGTGCAAATACCTCCATGATGTACACACAACCTTTCCAAAGAAATCACATAAAGGATTTATTGTCAGGGCTTGTTAGCAGCATTTAATTTATTTTCATTTGTTTTGCCAAGACAAAACAGCAATATCACATTATTCAGCAGCATATATGGGCTAGCTGGGGTTATAACATTACGCAAATGAAATCCAGAATTAAAGGCTGTAAAGAGGACTTTCTGAAATGCTCCTGTATAGAGAACTGAGCACAGAAAATGCTGAATGTATGTTTTTGGTGTACTTACTCATCTGCATGCATCTACAGAGTAATATTGGTAGGTTTCTTCCTCTCCTAATTTTGCTATTTCTTTCAAATTTGTATGTCAGTTATCTAAAATCCAACAAAGATTAATATCTTTTCCCTCAATAAGATTTTTTTGAGTTTTAAAAAAGAAGTGCTTACCATGTTCAGCAAAAAAAGGAATGCTTGGAGTTCCTAATCCTTTATTTGATTTGGATAAAAAAGTTATCTTCATTAATGGTCACAGTATATACTCTTTTTGTCTATAATAAAGAAACCAGAATACTCCAGTACTCTTCATAGTTTGGAATTCAGTGGAAGTGGCAGGGAAACCTTCTCCAGGTGTAGAGAAACAAGCACCCTGCTTTCATTCTTATTCTTGGCAAGTCTTTCAGTTGTCCTTAAAGGTACTTTTAAATCATCTGATATGTGCCTTCTCTCTGGAACGTTGGCTGGCCAGCATCTTACCAGCAAATACTGAAGATGACAGTGTATAAAACCAGCTGGGGCTGTGGCAGTCTAAAATACAGACATACCCAAACTCATAAAAGATGCAATAACTTTAGGATGAGTAAATGTCATGTGAAAGACAAGCATAAGAGAACCTATTTTCAGGCAACCAATGATTTTAGATGCTTTCAAATCCAGAAGTCCCAATATGCTTTCTCTTTAAAAATCCTGATTGTTGGAAAATGCACATTTTACAGATCTTTCAGTCCATCACTCACCACTATTGGTCAGAGACAGCCTCCTGAGCTGGGCATCAGGTTTCAAATTAAATATACAGAAGCATTAGTTCAGCATTGTAGGGGCGATGGGTGGTAGGATGGTCGGGACAGATGGAGACGAGAGATCTCCAAAGTCATGTCTTGGAACTTGGGCTTTATTGCCAAGGGCCTGGGTGCAGGGCCCTGCTGGGAGCCAGCCACAGCTTGGAGCAGGCCCCAAAGAGGAGCCCAAAAGAGTGAGAGAGCAAGAGAGAGTGAGCAAAGAATAAGAGCTAAATGAAAAGAGGACAGAAGAAGAGTAAAAGAAGATGAAGTTCCTGTTACAATACAATACATTTTCTTCTGCGCTGAATATTATAATTCTCACTAACCAATCTAGTACAAGATACAAATCCTATAGCATTTACATGCAGCCTATAAGAATCATTACATTACTATACTGTGTTACATTTTAAACCCTAAAAACTGCTCTGTGGACCACTTCTGCCAAGCTAGTAGGGTCTGCTCTGACCCTTGGACCTGTCTGCAAGCAGAGGGTATTGTTCCATCAAAAGGGGATTACCTTCAGTGGCTATACTGTTGTTTTCCTGTTGTTCAGTAACTAAGGGATCTCAAAGCTTGCTTTCATTTCAATCTTGCTTATAGTTTCCATATACTCAAAATCTTTTGCCAGGCAATCATATTTATAAGGGTTTTGTGTTTCATCTTCCCCAACACTGCGCCATTAAAATGAGAGCTGGAGTGCCTAGATTCTGCTTTTTGTTCCTGAACATAAATACTATACTTTAGCCATCTTGCTTTTATTTTAGCCATGCTGCTTGTCTTTCTTGGTCTTTAATCTTCTGTTCTCATAAGCTTATTCTGGAGCACTTCAGCAGCTTTAAATTGCTGGGAATTTTTAGTTCTTGTACACCTGACCATAGGATAAGACTCAAAAACATGTATTGTTTTTGAATCATTGGAAATTAGGTACCTGGTGCTTGGCTGACCTTCACCTGTCTGCACCTTTAAAAACCAGGACTTCTGTTTTAATTAGAATTTAAATAGAAACAGGGAATCTCATGTAATCACACATTGAGCTGATGCTTTTAAAAGGATATTTAGTATATTATTATCTGAAGCAGTGGTAGAAGTGGTGTCCTTCATGGAGAGTTAGCTGAAGTTGATTGGCATTTATGGATTCTCAGTTCTCGCTTCAGATTGAGGTTTTGAATTGTATGTCTGCCTTTAAGATGCAAATTTGAATATGATGACCTTTGAGTTAATTATTTAGTTCATCTGAGATACCTGAGGACTTAAGTCGGTATTAATTAACACAAGTTAATTTTGGGACTTAGACTTAAATCTTCTTAGATTTTCAGCACCTTCATTTTCATTATCCCTCAGTTTGTGATTGCCTAAAATGGTCTTGTGGAGATTCACAGCTCTCATTTTAAAACAAACATAATCCTGCAGCAGGCTTGTTTTTTATGGAAAGTATTTTGTGCTTCTTAAGCTACAGAAGTAATTAATGGTCTTTCTGGGGTATTCAGAGCCCTGAAAAGTCCACTTGTCTTATTTGTGCAGTGAAAGGCCATGGTTTTCACCAAAAGCCGTGTTTAGGGCAGAGTTGGATTTCAGCCCCTCTAAACTTCAGGTGTGAGCAAACCAAAATTAAAATTGTACAACTGTTGTCTTAGTGAAACATCTTTTAGTAGCGCAATGATTTGCACAATTCTTTCTGTCTTGCTCTTTTTTTTTTGATCGATTGGTTAGTTTTTGCTTTATTCCACCAAACCCTAAATGAATGCCTAAAGAAAAAAAGCAAAATGTAAATTCTCTTTGAAGTATCTTAATGGCACTGATCCTGAGAGTGGCAAGCATGATAAATGGAATGTGTTTAGTTCACAGTCTCCTCCATCCATTCTCCTTCTCTTTTAATGCTTTCATGAAGATAAATTGACTGGGTCTTTATTTCGTGGTATATCCCAGAATTACATTCTAGAAGGCTATTTTGGCCGGTTGCAATTTGAATGCAGTCTATCCCTGTGACCACTTTATCAGAAACTATGGAGATTATGTTAAAAAACAGATTAGCCCCTGCCATTTTTTCAAACATAGCATGAAAATTGAAATAGTTGTTAAAACCTTACTTGTGTTTTTTGTCACCTTCTACTTAGCGCTACAACTTTCTTAAGATATACCAATGAGCAAGCGAGTTAAATTTCCATAGTAATGTGGAGTTTCCCTCCTCTTTGCATTAGCTTGATGCAATGTGCTACGTGCTTAAGGAATTTCTTTAAATCCCTTTATGCATTTACTTCTGCTCAGAGAATCTTACAACCAAGGCTTAGTAACTTTGTTTAAATCCTGTTGTTGTCTGTTGCCATTACTACATTGCCATTACTGCAATTACTACATGCCATTACTACAATAGCTCTTCTCTGAATGACAGCCTCTAAGTGAGTTTGTTAAGTAGCACAGTGGGATCATGTTTCCTAAGTCAAACCTCCCAAATCTCTTGACAGTATGAATAACAGCATAAATCATCTTTTCATTAAATATTTATGCTTCCATCCTCTGGAAAAATTTTATTCTTCTTAGGTTTTAAAAAGCTTTATTTTGGGGAAAGCATGAACTATGAATAACATTTTCATGTTGGTTTTTGCCAGAGGCCTATTTCCTTTGTTTCAAGAATACATCTTGCTTTTTTCACCAGGTAAATTAGCACTGCCCAACTGCTGGCATAATGAGATTGAGACTTGTTAGAAAATCTGCCTGGCTTCTGTCTTTTTAGCAAGAAGAATAGCCGGTAGCTGTGCATGTGGGTGCATGTTCCTGCAGAAGAGAGGGCCAGCTCCCTGGTGTGTGTGCTGGTGGCTGTGCCTTGGAGGGGGTGGCCAGGGCTCAGTAAGGGAGGTCAGGCAAGTGTGGGGCTCACTGGACACAGTCACTGGAGAGACCTTTGCTCACAGCCTTGATGGAGCTGGAGAATGTCACTGGACATGCACATGCCAGTGAATCCCTCCTGTACAGCACAGACCTGTTGAAGCATCACGGCACGGATGTCTGGGAGGCTGACACAGCAGTGCTGGAATACCAAGAGCCTGTGTCTCCTGGTGGCTGGGCTTCTTGAGGCATTTGTGCTGGTGCAGGCACTGTCCTCACAGAAGATGGTGTCATAGTGTTTGTGATCATTATCTTGCAACAGTTGCAAGATAATACATGAATTCCTGAGTATTTTGGCTGGTGTCTTGGTTCAGGAAGGGGTTTATAGGAAACTGCCATCCAGCTTCATATGCCTAAAAGCTTTAGAAGTAAAAGTTTACTCTCTGAATAAAAGTTTCTAAAGGAGAACCAGTGGATCACTTTGGCCAGAAAACACAACAGCGTAAGTACAGTAGCTTACTAAATTGCTGCCATTATGGTAGTAATACTGAACACTGCAGTACAGTGATATCTTCCTGGGTTAACAGCTTGGAAGTTATTTTTGTGTCTGTTGTATCACAGTTTTTTGTGCAAGATGCTCAGATTAATTCTCGTGTTTTCATAGATCATTGCTTTTAAAATTATGTTAATTATCTGGGCAGTTTCCCAAAGTCCAGGATTGAAAACTGAATGTGGACAGCATTGTAAAAAGTGATCTTTAAGGTTTATGAACTGCAGATAATCTATGCACAGGATTTTCAATGACAGCAGAGAAAAAAAATTGGGTTACGGAAGATGAAAAGCAGTATGAGACAATAATCTTCACATTGGGCTAATGGATCCAAAGTTTTAAGTTCTCAGTTTATCAAAGCAGTCAAGTATATGTTCAGCTTTAAACTGAGGTTTAAGTGGTTTGCTGGACAAAATTCCCATTCAAGGTGTTTCTCCAATGTATTTGCTATTATTAGTCAGTCTTTAGTATGAAATATCAAGCTGATCCTAAGTTTATTTTGTCAAAATGTGAGTCTTCTGTTTCAAGCATCAAGACTATGAACATTTATTTTTTAAAGTTTCCAAAGCAAGAAGGGTTGTTTGTGTACCTCCAATTCTGACACTTCCTGGGCTCAGTACAGTTGTGTAAATATGGATGTAGATAGACCATCTGAGATATCTTAGAGTGTCCCACAGGGCCTTAAGCTGCTAGTCCAGAAGAAATGTGAATCTCCCAGGTCCATGTCATATCAGACAGTATTGTTTCAAAATCCTCACACACTCCAAGCTGTTTCAAATTGTACTTTGTCTACTGGTGTTTAAGCAACTGAATCAAAGCTCTGTTGGATCTACTGGTGAAGGGCAGTAGAGGTGACACTTCAGCTGCCTTCACATGGGGAATGCAGAAACTTTGTAAACAGCTTTTTTCTTATAGTCTCAGTTCTGACTCCTGCCTACATGCTCACCCAAGCCAGCTCTTGTAGTGTGCATGCAAGGGGAATCTCCTCCAGTTCTGTCCTTGCCAAAGATTTATTTACTTAGGGAGAAAATGTCCAAGCTATTCTACAGATACAGTTGCAGAAAAGCAGTGAACATTAGTGTAAGCTGCTGGAACAAAATAGTGGGAAAAGAGACTATTTTTTACTACCATTTTGTCTTCTTTTGTAAGCTGCCTCAAGACTGGGAAGTGAAAACTGAGGTCTTTCAGATCTAGCTGAAAGAGTTTCAGGGAAATGCTACTCCTCAGCTGGAAGATACTTCTGTCACAGCACAGCCAGCAGGGCAGCTGTGGTTTAGTCATTACTTCACAGCAAAACCAGCCAGTTCAGTTTAAGCAGGCCTAAGGAAATTAGGGAGATTGCTGTAAGCCTACGGGCTGGTCACTGGAGACTTGTACTATGAAGGGTTTTACTTGTTTGTTTTGGGACAATGAGTCCAGCACCAAAGAGTAGGAAGTGATTTGGCACAAGACATCTTGCTTAACTTAGCCCAGGTGTTTTTCTCACATGGGCATCTGACTGTGGCATAAGTGAGGTACAGACTCTTTGGTAACTACTGTCCAAATTGCTACCATGTACACTCCAAAAGTGAAGATAGCTGGCTTTTCTTCTTCTTCTTAACACTGCTGCAAAAGTGTTTTTCCATTCCTAGTGACATTTTTTGTGATGGTAGAAATAGTATTTTCCCTCTGATTCATTTTATGAACAATTGTGTGTGATTTGCAATTTCTGTCTCAATGAAGTCTATTGGTCTAAATCTCATAAATAAGATTAAATTAGGCATTGCTTTATTTTAAATATTTTAGTAATAAATGTAAAATTGAAATTTTATGCTATTTTAATCTTGGTAGTTTCTTTACCCTTGCTGTTTATTCTAAACTTCCCTGTAAGTCTGAACCTGTATAGTTGTTAACCTCTGTAGCTGTTAATATAATTTTTCTGCCTTTTTATTTAACTGCTTTCCCACTATCTAGGAAAAACAAAAGGCTATTGATCTTCATTTAAAGCTGCAGTTTTTATCCACTGTATTGCAGCAGGTGAGAAAGCTTTGTTTTGTTTGTGTCTTCTTACATCTCTTATGTAGTAAGAGATGCATTAACGTGATATTGAGGGTTTCCACATTTATCAATCAACATTCTTAAACCCAAAATGTTTTCTTGGATATATCAGACCTGAAAAATCATACCTTTTGGCCACAATCAATAATCAGTGCAGAAAATTATTTTATAATCACAGTTAACATGTGGAGCAGACTGGCTCCCTTGTTTGGCCTTGTGATGAAAATTTGGTTTTGTCAGTAAAGAAGAACAGAAGACAAAGATAAGGTGTATGAACTTTCTATTCTCATGTACTCACCTATATTAAGAAATTTGGAAGGAAGTTTTACTGGCCATAGTGGTCTTCAAAAATCTTTCTAAGTTCTCAATTTAAAAAATAATTAAAACCCTTAATTCATTGTACAGTTTCCACAGTAAGTAGATATTTTCTCACTTTGCTGCTAGTGACTGTTGCTTATGATTCTTTTAGGCAGAAAGAGGCTTTTATATTCTGTGCTATTTAAATCTCAGCTTATGAGGATCACGAATTAAAAAATATTTTCATTATATTCCCTGAGCAAATATATGCTTATATTTTAAAATACGTGTTATTTTTAGTATGTCATACATCATTCTCTCAGTTGTAAAATAAGAATCATTTTTTTGTGTTAGAAGTTGATGCTTAATTTAGCAGGACACTTCTCCTCTCATTTTTTTCCTTGCTCTTAATTTTTTCCTATGAGTTTTAATCATCTTTTAATTATCTTAATTTTATTTAGTAAAATATCAATGGTAACATTAAAGAAAAGGTGTTTTTACAGTTGTGAAATGTCATCAGTATGTGTCCATTGTATATCACAATCCTGTGTGGATTTTAAGATGGAAATATTTTCATTTCCAACTTCTCCTATAATATTTCACCTCTTGGAAAATAACTTCCATTCTCATTATTAGAGGCAACTTGTCTCTAGAAATAAGGCATTAAATAGTAATAAGCATAACAACTGTAACTATACTAGGACAGTGGACTGAATTAGTAAAATGTAATATTCAGCATTACCTAGCACAGTCAAAAAGAGAGACTTTATTTCTCTGTGTTATACTTTGGAGACTATCAGTAGAATAATAGCTCTCAGCCTGTAAGATAATTTGGCTTTCTTTTTCTAAAGGAGTGCCCATAAATGAAGATATTGATGATAAAGGTTAAGGCAGGTAGTCTTAAACTTGAAGAGAAGAATAATTCTTTGATATCACAGATTACCATGGTATACTTGTCTGCCATCAAACAGCCAGGCAAAATTTAGCCTTTTTTTCCCCACAGTTTTCATGGTAATGAGTGGTTAGGGCTCACTGTTGGGCCAACGATCTTTTGAAGGTCAGGGTTGACAACTGCCACAGATAGTTGGGCATTGATGGCTCTTTTCTTCCCACACTGTGACTTGTGTCCCAGATTTCACTAGCCTGTGAAGGACTTTCATTGGGCTTTTCAGGGCCTTCTCAAAACTCTACAATGAACTCCCATAGGGTGGGGAGATGAAGGAGACAGGTTTGAGGTTTGATTTTGTTTTCACCCAGCTTGAATTCAGTCAGGTTACTCTGAAAGGATGAGTTAATCAGTAGCAAAGCAAAACTTATCTTCTCCCCAGCTCCCCTTAACTCCCTATAAATCCCTATAAAAAGAGGGATATCGACTGTGACTCAGTGCATGATATAACGCCTTGACACTGGAGCTAAAAATGATTGCACCACTAGTCATCAAGGATGTGGTCAATAATGCCAGGACTACTAGTGATGGAAAGGTGTTCTTGCTCTACTTCTTGATCTAGCTGTTGATGTCACTGTTCTCTGTTGAATTGCAGGTCACCTCCTTCCATGGTCTTTAAAAAAGCCCAATGATGGCATCGTAGTGGCAGGAGAAAAGAAAACAATAATGGCTGAGTACAATAGGCAGAATAAAATAGTGCTAGTGATAGAGAACTGAACTATTTTAAGAGCATCAAAAATAAAAGTCATAATGTTCATGCAAAGGAAAAGATGTGAAAATGTCACAGGCTGCTGAGATGCATACAAACACTTAAAGCTCACCTGCTGTTAGCAGTTTGGGTACTTAATATTGCTTCAGTTTTATCATCCTGTTTTCCTTCTCTTACATGTGCAAGAATGCAAATACTGGTCTATAAAGCACTTCCCAGTGTAGGATGCTTGAGTTAAACAACACAGGAAATATTGTCAGCATCAACAGGGAAAGGAAAGGAAAGGAAAGGAAAGGAAAGGAAAGGAAAGGAAAGGAAAGGAAAGGAAAAAGGAAAGGAAAGGAAAAAGGAAAGGAAAGGAAAGGAAAGGAAAGGAAAGGAAAGGAAAGGAAAGGAAAGGAAAGGAAAGGAAAGGAAAGGAAAGGAAAGGAAAGGAAAGGAGAAAGGGAGACAACAGAAGGAAAGGGAAGTGGCTAACAGTCAGCAAGACCACTTTATCTTTAGACCACTGAAACATAACAGGAATATTTTCCATCTGTAAAGTGGAAAGTATTTGATCTGATATTTCCAAATATCAGTTTTTCAAGATATTTGTTGTATTCAGTGCAAACATGTATGTATGCTTGCATACACACACATTTTTAGCATTTCATTGGTTTTAAGACTCAACCACAAAGAACTCAGAGAAATCAAGAATATTCTTTTGACTGTGTCCTTAACATTTGGCAACCATGGGTGTTAATTATCATAAAAAAGATAAATGCATGTTTTCCTCATTCCGTTAGATGCTTAGTCTCACATTTAATAAAAAAAATAAAAATTCTTATAACTCTTAGAAACATTCATACTTGGTCTGCTGCATGGATTTGATTTGGGAGTGGTGGGGTTAATTCAGAAGTAGGGTAGCATAGCTGAAATCCGAATGCATCCCAGAGTTTCAAGGAGAATGGTTGCACTTAGCTTTCCTGTGCTGGATATTTGTACCAGAGATTGCTTTCTACATCTACCACATCCATATTAGTTCTCTGACTTGCTTGACAAGACAACATTCTGTGTCATGGCATGACAGCTGTCCCTGTGAGTCACTTAGAGGTGTAAGCAATGACCTTTCCTGCAAGGGCAAGATAAATCAGATAGCCAAGAGGTGTTTGGAGCAATTTGAAATCCACCTACCAGGATGATCTTGATGTTTCTGTGTCTGTGAATTTCAGGTAATTTTTATATGGTCTTGTAAATGCTCAGTTTGACATGGGTGGTCAGGGAAGGGAGAGATTTGTGAAGTACTAAAACCCTGCAATTAATTTTTTTTTAAAATTTATTTTGGGTTTTTCCCATTACATATGTTAAATAATTATATCTAGAGTACCTTACCATATTTTCAAACTGACCATTTTGGAACATAATCTGTTTTAACAGCTTTGGATAATTGCTCAAAAGGAGGGTAAAACATACAGAAAATCATTAACTGAGTATCCAGCTTTTTACAAATCACATTTCTGCACTAATGGAGGATTAGAGTGGACATTTGGAAGCATTTTTTCACTGTGAGGTTGCTCAAACATTGGCTTCCTAGAGAGGTGGTTAGTGCCCAACCCTGTCAGTGTCTAAGAAACATATGGACAATGTCCTTTAAGGACATGCTTTAACTTTTGGTCAGCCCTGAACTAGTCAGGTAGCTGGACTAAGTGAGCATTCATCACCTTGCAAAAGAAAAGTTATTCTATTCTATTCTATTCTATTCTATTCTATTCTATTCTTTCCTGTTGAACTACTTTTCCCCTATCCATTACCTATTAAGAAGCTAGGGTATTTTTCACTCAAAATCTTGATTTCACAAAGGTATCTATCACAGACAACTTTACCTGGAAAACAGAAAAAATATTTTATAGGAATTGGTCTGTTAAAAAGGCCAATAGGGATTATCATATTGTGGTATAAAAATAACTTTTTCTAATTTAATTTAATCTTTTTTTTGAAATTGATCATTAACTACAAAGGATAATAAAAAATTTAAGAAATAATGAACACTAAAGTGAGGCTACAGTTCTTGAAATGGAAAACATACATCATTGAATATGACGAAGAATATACAGTGTCTGGCCTTCTCCCTTTTTTGTTCACTACTCACAGAATATAAGAACTAGGTACTTGTAGAAGTAAATAATACAAGAAAGTAGCATTGATTTTTCTCTTCTTTCCTATAAAATTATTGATCTGATTTTAACCTAATTGGCACTTGTGAAAATAAATGGAGTAAAACTAGTAGGCTTTTCATGGGGTTCAAGTATTTGTTCTCAGTAAGAGTCCCAGGCCTGCTTGTCTGGGGCTGTGTTGACTGTCCTAACAAGCTAAAGATCGAGTGCTGTAGCATACTGTACTTACTTTGTTCTTCTTCTCTTTAATCTCTCATTCTAATTATTTCTTGTAATTCAGATGAGTAATAGTGCTAAAGATGCCTTAATGTATTGATACACAACAATTGAGCATGTACTGCTAAAAACGTAGCTTTTCAGTAGAAGTCTTGCCTAACATAAGAATGGACAGCTGATTAAAGGAAAGAAATAATGAAACTAGGTTTCCAATTTACCCCATCAGAAATTGTGGGAATTAAAAGAACATTATTTCTCCTGTATCCTGCCTATAGACATTTTTAATGAGTTATACTCTCCAGTACCATAGACTTTACTGTATAGAATCCAAAGACTGTCCATTTCCTCAGTACTGATCTGCAGATACTTTGTTTGTGAGAAAATTTAAAGACAGGTGAGCCCCTAATTCACATGCATAAATACTTGCAGGTTTGAGGAATTAATTAAATTTTGGTTTAAATTTTTCCACACTTTCTTTTAGGCAAAGCAGCTGTAAAGGTATTGCACATATATTCAGTGACAGTAATTTTATTGGATTCAACAAGCTTTGGCTCAGTCTCCAAGCTGTATAGTTTGGATGTTGAGCTTGGTGCTTGAAGGTACATCTGGTGAAATTTTTTTCCTTCATCAGAGGAAGGTCCTGAAGCTTAAAGCTATGTGAGAATCATAAGAATCAGGACAGTTAATTACAAATTACAAGTAAGGAACATTGATAAAAAGGTTTTCAGCTGTTTTTAAAAAATCTATAAAACTGCATGCTTTTCCTTGTATTTGATATAATTTATTCCATATTAAAAAAGAGGTAAATTGAAATTAAAAAAAAGTAAAAGGATACAAGTGTTTGCACAATTATAGTCAATCTTTGTTTATTTGGGATGATCATTTAGTTCATAGTAATCATTTTAGTAAAATGCTATCCTTACAGGGCTGCTGAAGATTGCTTTTCCATGTTTGCATCCACAATGAAATGGCTCTTGTGGATACAGACATAGATGATTGCATATCTCTTTGCCAGTATCCAAAAAGGAAAATTGTGTTTTAAACATGTTTAAAACACTTTTGCAAAACCAGCTTCATGTAGCTCATGTAGAGTTTAAAGCTGGATCTTATGTGCTCCTTTGGGATAAGATTTGGATCATCCCTCCAGTAGAATTCTGTTGTAGAAGAATTGCATGTGTACGTTACTTTGCATGCTGTAGCAGTGTGGTATGTGAGAAATGGAAAGAGGAAAAGGCAAAACAATTCCAGTTCCATTACATGGTTCTTGAAGTGTCTGTTTGCAGCAGAGAGCCATGGATATGGTTTTAGCATGGCTAAAGCTGTGGCTAGTAGAAGGTGATTTATATCTTACCCCTCTATGTTAATTTAATGCTGTTCTTTTCTCTGTCTGTTCTTGTAACAAAATAGAAGTACTCTGCTGTCTCTCTCTGCAACATATCTACAGAAGTCCTGAAAGTCATCAATGCCACTGAAGAGCTGATAGCAGAATCCACCGATCCCTGTGACTTCCCAGACGACGTTCAGGGCAGAGGGAGAGGAGCCCTCCCACTGGGCACAGATCCTGTCAGACTTGATGAGCAGCTCACCACGCTGGAAGAAAATGTAAGGAGATGAATCAGCATGTGAAAGAGTGACATGTGTGTGTGAGTGCACCTGTTTGTGTGCACCAACTGGAAAGGGAAAGCACACGGGGCAGCAGCAGTGGATGTTCAAAATTAATTTGGGGTTTTTAAACAAATACACCAATAGAAAAAAAATGGTGTTTCAACAGTGCTTAAAACTGTGTCAGTGGGGGGTTTTTAATATGTACTCTAAATATAGAGGGGAGGAGGAATTGGATGCTTTGGGGTTTAGAAGCTCTATATCAAAAGCTCATTTATGCCCTCGCCTCTATGGCAGTGTGACTGTGCCACACCTGGCTGCAACCACACATCTCCCAGTCTCAGCACCACCTCATCGTTACTCCAAGGACAGGTGGAAAAAGCATTATTTCTCCAGTCACACAGAGAAGTGGAAAAGCTCTTCCTCCCCCCTACATCTCCAGCACACCGTGCTGAACACCCTGGAAGCTGGAGCTGCCTCCTGTACTGCTAGAAAGAGCAGGCTGGAGAATCTGAATTAAATAAACATTTGTTTGGTGACATCCAAGTCATCCATCCTTTTTCATGAATACCTGTAATCTGCAGGGGAAAGTACAATGCTGAATCATAGAAGGAAGTCACTACTCATTGAAAATTTTTGTGAATCCAATTAATGGAGTTGGTAGACTTCTAACTTTCTCTTCTTCCCACATTTAAGTGCTCTTTCCCTTCATTAGGAGCTCTTAAAATCTCATAGGAATCTGCACTGTCCCATTATATCATCCTGATCAATTCAAGAAAATAAATCCTCGTTTTCTTTAGCCCCAAGAAAATTTTCAGACAGAATCTTCTCTTAGAGGATAAAATCAGTTTGCTCCACAGAAACACATTTCCACAGCAGCCCCAGATTAAGAACTGGGTGGAAGATACTCTGTGGCACTAAAAGCCAGTCCTGGCACTGGACTCCCTCATGAAATAGTAAAGTATCCTAAAGGTCCAAACACCACAGAATTCATCTGGTAGGGGAGTGAATATAGAATAAAAATCCAAGTGCATGCTGGGCCACATCTTCAAAAGAACTAAGAAATTCTGCAGGACAAAGAGCAATTTGGGGAAATCTGGTCCTACATGTTTTTTTCTGTGGAGAACTATGTTGTAAACTATCTAAGGTGCATGTTTTGTTTTTTTCCCCAATTGCACTTTGATAATCCCTCCCAGCAATGTGGAGCTTTGGCATCTGTGGTGCTGTGGCCTCAAATCATTCATTTGGGCCGAGCATTTCTGACTGAGCAGACACTGGACACAGAGGCAGAGCATTTCTTGCTTTGCCTTTGCCCTCACTGCAGCATTTCTGCTTTAGCTTCTCCCATTTCTCTGCAGAATTCACAAGGTATCCAGGACAGCCTTGCTGTGTCCCCACAGAACGTCTTTCTCTGTGCCACACAGGACATGAAGTAGATGACAAAAACTTCACAGTTTGAAGGTTTCACCATTACACTCCATGGTAAAGAGCCTTTAGAAATCCAGGAAACCATAAATTTTCCCATTACAGCTGGGGCCATATCTACATGAACCACATCCTCTTTGCAGCAACTTCTGCACCCAGAGGATCTGGGTGTTTATAAACACTTTGTTCATTTTTGCTCTCTCTAGCCTTTTGAAGACTGTGCATGCAACAATGTGGAGAACGTAGGGCCATCTGTACCAGCAAAAGGTTGGGGTTTTGTGGAAGTTGTGCATACCTAAATGACAGTAAAATAAGTCTCCACAATCTAAATATGAATGTATGAATAAGGACATAATTTAGGGTAGACCTGCAAGGACACCATTGCTGTTTGGAGTGTAACAATTGTCCAGGTGAAGGGAACATTCTTTAGAAAAATATTTTCTTTAGCTCCAGCTGGAAAATGTTCATTAACATTTCACAAATGTAGGGGCTGATTGAGTTACAGAAACACTGATGACCTTTCTTTCCCACATTTTTCTATCAGTCCCATTTTCTTTAGATTTTCTTCCCCTTCTTGAAAATAACATCTTACTGTACAGAGATTTTTGCCACAGCACTTAAAATGCATCTTTTCTTTAACTTTCTAAAGATGCTGCTGTTCAAAATGTTTTATTTCTTCTTTCTTTAAGCTTTTAGATGTGACAGGGAAATCTAAAAAAAACTGTCTTTTAATCTGAACTGGCTGCAGTATGTCATACTTAAAAGATGTATCATTTAAATGAACAGTAAGAATAATTAAACCACGCTAAAGCAGCAGCATTTCTATTTAAATCATCATGTTGACTTTATGGACCACCTGTATCCCCAGGTACCTCAGCAGAAATTTTACATTAGATCACCTATTTCTTTTTGGTATGTTTTTCAGAGATTTCATGCCTGCAGTTAGAAAGTGTTCTTACAAGATGTGGTTTGTACAGATGTAGTGATTTTGTTTCTTAGCAAAGTCACGTGCTTGGAAAAAACCTATCTACAACTGACACAAAGAAAAAAGAAAACTATTTCAAGCAATTAAGAAACAATAATGAAATAGAAAAGGAATAAAAAGTAAAAAAATTCAATCTGGTCATTCTCTACCATTTTGATCCATGAAGTCACAGCATTACCATAAATTATTTGAATATCTCTTATGTCAAAGGACTGAATGATCCAGGAATTGTAGGCAGATATAATGACTGGAGTAAAAGATGTATGAAATGAAGGTATTAGCTCAAAGATCTGCTTCAGATCCTGTTTGCTTGCCCTTTGTACCGTGAAGTCAGCCACGGCCATGTTTAATTCATGCTAGGTTTGTAACAACCTGGTCTTTACTACTATTGCAATGGGGGAAATCAGAATATGTATTTCATTTCCACTGTGCTGTTACCAGCCTCATGGAAACAAGTCTCTTGGCTAAGGAGTAAATGGGCAGAAAGAGCAGTATTTTCATGTGGTTCTGCACAATTTTAAGCTCAGATGTCAAAAGCTAATGCTTGAAAATTAGCCTCTTCTATACACCAGTGACCTCCATGTACCTTAGGAGGTTTGTGAAATAAAGGAAACTATAACACACAGTGTATGACTAATTACTGCTCTGAAGGGCTGAATGGGAAATGAAACCTTTAGCTGTAGTTATAAATACCAGAGGTGAGCCAAAATTGTAAGAGTTTTTCATTTTTAGGGAAGAACTCTGAATTACAAAGTCAATAATTCTCTCTTATGTGGCCCAAAGAAGCCTCAAAGGCCAAGGAGGTGGGAAGGTTTTGCCTGCTGCCTGTTTGGGTGAGAGCGGGATGGGATGGAAAATCGTCATACATATAAGCACATTTACTCCATAGGAAGTTAATAACTATTTGCTGCTGAACAGTTATTCATGCAGTTTTTACTGCCAGAAGGCATCAAGTGGGTTAAAGAAACACAGCTTTATATGAGGTGTGATCTGTTGCCTTCCCTTTGTGGACTTAGGGTATTATGCGATTGAATGTCAATAATAAAAAAGCAATCTTTTCAACTTTTTTCTTCACTAATCAATCTGGAACAAATCTGGTTTGGAATATCATTGAGCTCCTATGAAATCTGTAATGCAGCCACCTCATTTGTCCCTTCTCTTTGTGGATGTGTGTTTTTCAGATTATTTCCCCATGACTTTCCTCTGCCAGGTAAATCTCCCTGTGGTGGGCTAGCAAGCAGGGAAGTTTGCAGGCATGATGGAGAATGCAGTCTGCTCAAACCTGCATGCCCACAAACCAGGAATCACTGACACCTGTCCTCACCTTGGCCCTGCAGGTGTACCTGACAGCCAGCACCGTGTATGGGCTGGAGGGGCAGCTGAACAACCTGGAGGATGCCGCACGCAAGATCAACAGCGTTACTGAGGAATCTGAGCTGGCCGATCTGGAGGATCAGGTGGCCACAGCAGCTGCCCAGGTTCATCATGCAGAGCTTCAGGTGAGGACAGCAGCTCCTCTCCACCTGCAGGTTTCACACTGCCTTGCCTAACACCCACCTCAGCATACGCACTTTGAATATTCTTCTGTACTGCCATAGTCTGGTGATCAAAGGATGCTGACTGCATCACAAGCTGGGCAGAGCGTTAACTGAGCTGTGTAACTCAGCCCAGCCAGATGTACTGTATCTCTTTATTTCTTCCCTCAGCTTGCTTTTGGAGATGGCACTGCAGAGCCTCTTACTGCAGTACTAATGCTGGACTGCTCCTTGCTGCCAGGCAGTTCCCATGGTGCGCTGTGTCATGTGTGTGGCCCGGGTCAGACAGCAAATAGAGTCTGAGGCAGTTTGTCTAATCAGCACTTTCCAAAAGATGCCACTGTTGGCAGCTTTCTACCAGCAAAGGCCAACAGCAGCCACAGGCTGAGCCAAGGGCAGAGCCTAGGGCTTGCATGCCTACCATGGGATTTAGGTGCTAAGCAGCACACATCCCAGCCAAAGGCAAGAACTCTTGTGCACGGTGATCTAGCACCACTCTAGCAGGCTCCAGAAAGGCTGGGGCTCACAACACATCACAATCTGGTGCTAAAAGCTGAACAAGATAATGCTGCCAGTCCTCAAAGGGCTGACACTGCTTGCAGCTCACTGCCCAGTCTGTACCCAGCAAGATGCCCTGACATGACTCTGTCAGGATTTAATGGCAAGTACCTGGTGATTTTACTTAGTGGAGGCATGCTCAACTCAGGACTGAGCAAAGATCTGAGAGCCTGACATGTCTCTGATGTCCGAAGTGCTTGGCAAACTGGCAGTGGTGTTTTTCTGGCTTTGGTCACTATTTTAGGGTAAATCTGTTAATGGGGGTGAGAGAGAGGAGGAGAGAGGCCTAAACTATGCAAAGAGGCCGATGGAAGATCTTCTGCAGAGTGAAGCCAACTGTGGCTTCTGGAGTCATTGTGAATCAGTTGTTGGGTTATATATCTGACTTCTCTGACTCTTCTTTTGTGAATACTTGTCTCCACTACTCTCAATATCAGACTATTTTTCCCTGGCAATTTGTTTTCCATTCAGTATTTTTATATAGTGTATGCCTGCCTTTATGCATGCTTGTGTTTAATATGCATATACATTTGAACTATAAATATTTAAGAGAAATGTTTAGATTTTGTGACAGAGGATGTACTTTGCACGTGTATGAAATTAGTTTTGAGTTAGGAAATGTGTCCCACAAAGTCATTGTTTGAATGTAGCCCTTTAAAAACACATCTTGAATGAATTTGGGATTATGCAGCTAAAGGTAATCGGGAGATAGCAGATGCAGGTTTTCTCTCCTCCTTTCTTTTTTTCCTCAAAAGGAGTAAAATGCCTCTTCCTTAGAGTCACAAGGTAGGTTGGATTGTTCTTTTACTCCATCTTTACTAACAAATTGTGTCCCTTTTAATGTCAGGACTAAAGAATGCAGGAAAGTGTCAGAATTGCTGAAGAAGTTAGCCATCTGTTTATATTTTCTTATTAAAGAGGATTTTACTGGGGGAGGGTTATTATTTCAGTAGTGGCATCCACAGTAATTTTAAAACTTCTTTTCCCCCCTCCCCATCTGTCTGTCTCTCTCTTTTCTTTTCTTTGAAGATTTCAGATATTGAGAGCAGAATATCAGCTCTCACTGTTGCAGGCTTGAACGTGGCTCCCTGTGTTCGCCTGACAAGGAAACGGGATCAAAAGCAAACAAACCAGGTGCCAGAACATTATGTAGTATTCAAAAAATACATTGGGGAAATCTTGCCTCTTTCTCTATAATGGAATTGAGTAATGCATGTATGTTGTTTACAGATGCATACAATAGACACATCAAGACAGCAGAGGAGAAAGCTTCCAGCTCCACCAATAAAAGGTGCGCCTCAAGTGTTCTGTAAATGAGAGGGACTCTCTTTGTAAGATTCAATAGAATATACAGGTCAGCAAAGTAGGGAAAAGTTCAAGTCACGAAATGAACAGAGAAAGCCTAATAGACTGTCCCATCCTCCTCATTTTCCATGTACTTGCATTTTATAAAATACCCCTTTGTCACATTTAAAAACATCACCACTTTCTCTTCAGTGAAAGTTGTGACAGTGACAAGTAAACAAGAGCAGAGGCAGAAGGCTGGAAAAAGCAAATGAGGAATGCTGAATACTTGCCCTGCAAGAGGGGGGCTGCTGCTGCAGCATGGCTGGGCACCCCATAGCGTGGCTGCCACCCTCCACAACACACCACTTCCTTAAAGTGTGTGTTTGCTGATTTCAGTCTGTATTAATGGCTCAGCAATATTCCTGGTATGTCAGAGGATGGCTGTGAAATGTCTTTATAAAATCAAGTGACTTTTTTCTTTCATGATTTTTTGTGGATTTTGGCCCTTTTTTGGGGGGTTTTTAACTCTGCAGTGCATTATCTCTGAAAATTCTATGGTTTTGTTCACTGCACTATTCTTTTGTAATTCCACTGGTTGACATGGCCTCAAACTTTAATTTATCTGGAGTACCACAGCCTGCTGGTTTTAATTTAAATTAAATCCAACTTTTCTCATACATCTTAGGGGAAGTTTTATCTCTCTAGAAACTGTGACTCTTCAGAAGTATTTTTATATCTGCTTCAATCTCTTATGTGAAAAATCTCCCCTTTTGTATTTTTCCCAGGTGAAAAAATAGATGGCTCTCCAGTTACCACTGTCAGAACGTTTAACAGAAACTTCATGCTTCAAGGATCTCTAACACAAAGAACTAAAGAAAGGAAAAGCACTGCCAAGGACTTAATGGTAAACAAATATTTTTAAAACTCTGTTAAGATCATTCAAATAGAGAGATAGCAGTATCTGAGTAGGCAGCTGTATTTCAGTACCTTCAGAAATCTTCTCTTGATAGTTTGAGAAAAAAAATAGTAGAGACTGCTGAGGCAACTCTTGAACAAATATGACTAGTGTCCTGGAAGACGTCTGACTATATACTATAGAATAGCAGCTCCTGAATGTCAGCTTGTGATAATGTAGCCTGGCTGCCAGGTCTACAGGAACGTGCTACCCATATTTTTTAAAGAATAAATAAATTAGTTATGCCCTGCGTTTCAGACTTCTGAACCAGACCCTCACAGAACCAGCTGTGCATTGTAACTTGGCAGGTGAGAGTCACCTTGAATTTCACTAATTGCTGAGAAATGTTCAGAGGTTATCTAAGTTGAATTTAAGGGGTAGACAGGTCACACATTGGCTCTGCAGGATTTGAACAAAGAGGTTTCACTCAGGACACCCAGGACAGCTGTCAGTCATTTCTTCTGCAGCAGCCATAGAGGGATAAGGGAAAAAGCTGACTGTCCCAAAGCCGTCTGCCACAGGACATGTGGGAAACATGTGAGGAGGTGAGAAGGGAAAGGACCCAGCTGTGTTCTTCAGCAGGTTTGTTTAGTTCTTCACTCATGGTTTTCTTCTTTCCTGTCCCTCTCTGTTCTAGGAACCTGCTATAGGATCTGCTGTGATGTACTAAATGTACTCTTCCCTACTGCCAATAACACACTGCCTAAGGCTGTACACTAGAGTGCCTTTTCTTAACAGCCATTGTGTATGTCCAGCTGAAAATGGACCCTCAAGAACCCACAGAGCCTCAGTTATAGGGCTTCATTTGGATACCTCACTGAGAAAGCTGTCCAAGTCTTCAGCATTGTGGTCCGCTACAAGAAACTCTGCCTTAAAGTTCTCAGAGGACTCTAGACAGGATGCTATATTTCAAAAGCAAGGCTCCACATTTTAAGATGCACTTTTCTCCCTATCGATTGTACTAAAGTATGTAGTCTTTAAACTGCAGTATGTTTTTGTACACTCAATCAGTCATAATTATAGGCCAATTAATCTGCCAAAGCAGACCTGTGATCCATATTTGCTGGCCTCTTACTATTCATGTGGGCATCTGTCTTGTCGAGCAATAAGAACAACTCTGTGCAGTGTGTGCTGCTTTTCAGCTGCGTGGAGGGAGAGGAGAATTTGTGTACCTCACTCTGCTCCCAGGGAGTCAGTGGAAGTCTTGGGAGAATTGGTAGGAGGAGGAAGAATTCTCTGTTCTCTGAGAGTACATCTTGCAGATTGAATGTTCCAGCTCCATAGCTAGGGATATTGCTCTAGGCAGCAGGGGGGTCATGCTGAACCAGGAACTGGTGTCTACACTTGTGGAGCAGATGTCTGCTGAGTTGGGATCCCAGTGTCTGGAAACATCTGAACACTGTTAAAGAAACCAACACCTTCATATGTCTTGTTCTTGGCAGCATTGTCCACTTGGTGGTGGCCAACCATGCTGCAATTCAGAATAAATTGTGCCCAAACCTTTAAGATTGGAAAAAAGAGGTGAAAGTGTTGGGGATCTCTGCTGACTGACTGGTGGTTGAGGGGTGGCTGCAGCTTGCAAGAGATTCCTTTCTGATGTTTACTGGTGTTTTTGAGAAGGAGGCAAATGTAGCCCAGACATCAGCTCCTATACTAATCTGGAGCCACCAGAGAGTAGCTGGGGCCTTTGCTGGTGCCAATGGAGCCCACTGTTACTGGACCACTCTGAATTGGATTGTGAATAGTAATATTATTTCTTTCATTTCTTGAGACCCTTAACAGGTGAGTCAAACTAGAAGGCCATTTGGCAGATGCCCAGGAGAGAGGATGCTGTTTACAGGGTGTCTCTCTCACCCTTTTGTGGGAGAACATTGCAAATCTGTGCTTTTTTTTGCTCTGAAGAATACAAAGAAGGTAGTCAGAGGAGGTGATAAGCCAGTGAATCCCTTACCTTCCACACCAGTTGCAGAGCAGGTACCCAGGTGCAGATGGGGTTGATGTGAAATGTGCTACGAAGGAAAGCACGGGCTGGCAAGTTCCCCTCAGCATTAAGGACTGCTGAGCTCTCCCAAGAGCTGTGGGTGCCAGGAAGGAGGAGTTCCTTCATTCCCTGGGCTCCCAGTGAACACCCACAAGCAGAGCGCCACCTGTTACCTGCCACGCTACATGTTACCTGCCACGCAGCAGGCAGGCAGTTCCCTGGGACACGAGGCCATGAAATGTCTGTGGCTGGGCAAATTCCTGCAAAACTGGGCAAATTTCCTGACTAGGCTGGATTTAGGGCGGTGAGTGGGGAAAACAAGTAATGGCTGGATGGGTTGATTGGAAAGACGGTGCCAGTTGCAAATCTGCCATCCACATTTGACATCTAGCTTGTCAGTACTCTGATGTCCAACTGCATGTGAGGAACCCTTGGAATAAATACAACCATCTTCCCACTTAAAATACATAAGTGTTACTCCATTCCTTCAAGGAATTTTCATCTGCCCAAGATCTGACCCAATGTCTTCATTCTGGGTGAAATTAGGCCTTCTTTTACTCTCACACAATACTAGTTCTCTGAAATTGGTTTGCACAGATGTGAGGGAAGAATTTGGCCCACTCTGTTTAATATATAAATATATATATAAAACAAATAGATTTTATTTATATATGCAATCCAGAAAAGGAAATTAAACAGAGTAGGATGCCTAGTAATTTTTTTTGTTTTTCAGTCTGCTCCTCCATTGACTGTTCTTGTGTATGTATACAATACATTCCCAGGTTCTGGTTTATGCAGGTATGCGTGTTATGAAATGTCATTAATGGTGGTTGGTCTGCATATTCGTCTAATAAATAATAACTAATATTGTGTATGTAATATCAATACAGAAATGACTAATTTTAATAGAATAACTCTCTGGCTTTTGTTCTGTTAGTGTGATTTAAACAAGCCAACAAAGTTTGGAGTAGGTTGTTTTCCTTAAGAGGCATGAAAAGCAACTATTATCGTGTTACAATGTTAAAATATTCAGTCTTCTTTGACAGACAAATGTGTACTGTGTAGGCATTGCAAAAAAAAAAAAATCTTAAAAAAAATACCACCTGCTCTCAGCATTTGAATTTTTACAAATGTTTATCGTGCCAAATATGTGCAAAGATATAATTTACTGTTTTAAAAAAATCATAAAAGCATATGTTATAGCACACAAAGAATTATTTTGTCATCAGGTGATTTCAATCTTTAGTGTTAATATTTATATTTAGATTAATTTTTATAAATGAAAATATTTTAATGGGTAAAATGAAGACTATATGACCTATTTGATTAAGTTTGAGTGAATATTAAGCTTGCCTTGTTGTTGTTATCTGCATACTCACCAAGAATTATTGTCAAGAGAAATTATAAAAGAGTAAAAGCGATTTATGAAAAGAATGCCTTTTCAACGACTTGATTCATAAAGAAAAAGAAAAATTTCTTCTCTGTTGTTTGGATTTATGTGCACTTTGGCCTGGAAGCGTGCAGAACTCACAGCCACACACACATGACACCATCACAGCCGGGACACAGGCATCTCCACAGGGGTGCCAGGGTTTGCCGAGAGCAAGGGCACACGCTCGGTTCACACCCCCTCCTCCTCCTCCTCCTCCTCTTCCTCCTCCTCCTCCTCTAGGGCTGGGGTGGGAGGAATCCTGCTAGAAACATGTGCTGGTGAGTCTTCTCCAAACCATCGAGTCTGTTGGCTGAAATACCATCTCAAGCAGTTTCTCAGGCAGAATTTCTTGATCTCTCTCTGGGATTGCTACAAAAACTGAGCAAGAACCCTGCCAATAATCTTGGTCTCGCACTTCCAAAGTTCCTTGCAGTGAATATGGATCAAAATATTTATCAGCATATCTTCTCCACTGTGAAAGCATTAAAATTGGTGTGTTTTAAGTAATAGTTTGGGTCAGCAGCTTTGTTGTATTATTAATGAAAGTAACTCCCTTATTATAATAAAAACCCGTCCTTTCCTGACAGGCCATTTGCAAAAAGAGAAAGAAGGGTTAAAATGTCTGCAATGGTTAATTCAGCCATTATTCAGTTTTAGTAGTAATTCTCACAAAGCACAACTAGAAGTGGAAGTCCATTCAACTTTATCCTTTGCAGAATGATTCATGGCCTGGATTTAACCATCAGTTATTACCTAAGTTGTAAACTATCTTTTTTGTATATGAGCCATAGATAAAACTGTATTATTCCTGCCAATAGTTATTAATCAAGATGAAACACATTGTAAGTAACACTTCTTATAAAAGTAATATAACAAAGGTATATTAACATGAGTAAATAGAGGTATTGAGCTGCATCTCCAGCCTTATTGATGTGGACTAATGGAATAGATAGTACATGGCTTGTGATCCTCAAAGAGCGACTTCAACTGACTCAGACAATGTACTTGAAAATAATTACATTGTTTTAAAGGGAATCAGTTCATTCAGGCCCTTGCTCCTTTTGGATTATGGTTTCTGATTATATGCAGAAGGCACAAAACTACTCCAAGGAGTTCAATTAGCCAATTTTTTTTTTTCTTCAGCAGGGAGAAAATACTTATCTTCAATAGGAGCTTCTCTTTTTCATTAATATATCTCTCCAGCAGTACAGGAAGAATTGTGGAGGGCCAGTGGGCACTTCAGCGAGTGCCAATGGATGGCACTTCATCCATTCTTAAGAGTGGATGTTAACAATCTCTATAAAAGCTACAAACAGAGAACCAGCATTTCATGCCATTAATGCAGGTACATTAAAAATTGGTAAGAGCCTTTTTTCTTTCTTCCAACCATTGCTTTTTATTTTTATATATCAACAGCCATTGACTTTGAAATGTGACAGGAAGGTTTCATGATACATTTAACACTGCAGAGTTTAAATCCCAGCCCAAAAGCCGTGTGGGTTTTGGATAAACCTAGCAGTGAACAGGATTGGGAGATTGCTGGGGATGCACAATGAAGAAACATTTTTATAAGCAGTGGTGGCACTCAGTGCTGGTGTCCATGCATTGTCTTTTACCTGCGCCCTGAAGATATTTCTTTTTGAACGTACTTGCACAAGGAGCAGAAAGAAGAGCAGGGTGTGATTGCTAGGCAAAAGCAGAACTGTAGGTCTGAGGTGCAGGGGAGGACACAATTCAAAGAACAGAAGTTGGGTTGCCACCTTGGGGAACAGAGATCACCAGTCACTGTCCTCTGTGTCCAAGGACTTTTGCTCCCACAAAGCATTCAAGATGAAATCCAGGTGTCTGCTCACAGGCCTCAGGCTGCCACTGCTGCTTCTCAGCTGCCTCTTCCCAAAGCGACCGATGGGGCGAACGCCACGGCCCACATACCAAAAGGGGTCAATCTCAGGACCTGGAATTCAAAGCATTCCGTGAGGATGTACCACTGCACTCGGAGGCAGTATTTTCTGACCATCTTGAGGGTGTTAGACAACTTACTTGGAGCCCAGGAGAAAAAAAAGAAAGGAAAGGCCATAGCCAGACACACAGCTTACTGGTGCCTTTGAGAGTTACTTTCCATGTGTAGAGCCCAGAGGAAGAGGATTCCATTGCAAAATTAATTTTATCCATCTGGGCTGCAACCTGCATTTCTAACATGAGCCAAAAGGCCCATCCAAGTTTTCTGCAGTAGGTACCAGGTACACTATTTCTACAGGTTAACAAATTCACTGGATTGCAGAGGGGGTTCCTACACGAGAGGTAAACATGAAAAGTTAATTCTTGTTCACTTAGGAAGTTGTTTCCATGGATGACTAATTTTTTTTTTTTTTTAAATTCTGATTTTTGTGGTTACTGCACTTTTGGAGCAGGTCTGCAAAGGTTTATAGTTCTATTGAAAGACTATATTAAAAAGAATATTTAAAAAGCATTAAAGGTTATATTTTAAAAGATAGAGCAGCAAGGAAATTCTAAAACATGTTGGAGATGGTGCCACCCTAAGGAAATCCCAAATCATTGCAGAGACAGACAACTGTCAGGAATAGGAATAAATTACAATTTAAGTGCATTATATATCATCCCCATCACATGATAGGTTCTTGACTGAGACTTTCTTGTCCCTCGACTCAAGGGAGGAGGAATTTCCCCTGTGCATTTTGATGTTTGAATAGAGGAAAAAATTCACCTTGCCTTTAAATTTCTCTGTAAATACATCTTTTAAGTCTTTCAGCACAATGTTTAACAGCCTTCCTACTCAACAAAACCCAAGAAACTTTCACCTGTGTACCTAAAACCTGAGGTTCCCAACACCTCTATTTTCTTTAATGGGGAGAGGTGTGGCACTGAGCCCACAAAATTTGCTCTCCACAACTCCTCTCTCCCACTCCACCTTCCATTATCAGCCTATACTCCTTGGGGAAGATGAGATTTCTTGGTGATTTTCTCAAAGATCTTTTGGATTGTGTGCTAGTTTAAACTTGGGATACATGGTGTCATCCCTGACCTGGATACTCTCAGTTCTTCACAGCATCTCTGAATGGAGATACTTCAACCACTTATATTTGGACTTTCAAAAAATTCAGAGTCCCAGACAGAACTGAAGATGTCTGTAAAGTGAACTTAAGCTTCTGGGCCATTGCTTATTTTTTAGAAGTAGTTTTATTTTATAGAAGTAGTTGTGTACGTCTACAGAACACAGCTGAAAATTTAGTGCTTAAATATTTGATGTATACCTCTTTACATTTTCTTGTCTGTCCTTTGCACATTAGTGTCTTCTCTGATATTTATCAAAAATAATGCTATTTGCCTTGGCTAATTAAGGGCTGTGAGAAGGACATGAGGTACTGTATATGCACTGACAAATGCAAATGGAAGCACAGGGCCTCACACCAAGGTGACACCATGGAAGCACCTGCGTGATTTGCTCTTGAACTTTGCCTGACAGCCCAGCCCTGATCCCTCAGTGCAGCGCAGACTGTGGGGTCACCATGTCAGGTGAGAGTCATACTTACTTCTGTTGTCTATCTGGTGTTTAAATGGCCTGCTCTGTCCCGAGGCAAAGCTGAGTGACACCAAGAGCATCAGGACATAGACAGTGACTAGCTTTAAGTGGTTTGGTGACCACTGGGCACGTGGTGTCCAGGAGATTGGATGCCACATGATGGAGCAGTTCTGAGAAGGCTGTAAGGAGAAGAGTGAACATGGGGAACACATATGAGTTAAAGCTCTCAAGGTGAAGGAATGTGTCAACTTTAACAGTATGTTCCCATCCATCAGAGCCATTTCATGGCTCTAAGTTTTGTGGAACACTCATGCTGGAGATGTCCTGGGCATTTCTGTTTGAAGGCAAAGGTTATGAAATGGGCCATCTACTGAGGTAAGAACTGGAAAGTTTTTCTCTCCAGAAGTGAAAGCTTTCACAGGACACTTGAGTCCTGCCCCTGAGTTCACTGCTGATTCTGTATGGCGCTCTGTACGACCACACGCATTGGCCACCAAAGTATGTTTTAGCCACTACCACCAGCATCTTCTCCTTGCTTGTAAAATGTGTCTAACATTTGTGTTTTACACACTCTTTTTACAACTAAATGCATTTCAGTATGAATGGCAATGCTCCTCTTGTGCCATTACCCCCTTTTTTGCCAGCATGCAAAATTACAATTTACAGTTACAGTTTCCACTGGTAGATGTCCCAGTCCTATAAATGCACGCAGATGCAACAGAATGAGAAATCCATCCTAGCTTCCATAGGATGGGCTGAGCAGAACACAAGGTGCTGAGCTGGGAAAGTTGCATCCAGGAAGGGGAGGGAGCCAGGCTCTGGTCACCAGTGTCTCTTGCATTTTGTACAAGCTTCCTCATGGCAGCTCTCCCAGCTGTCACACCAGGACAGTCTGTCTTGTGACATGCAAGGTCTGCCTCTGCATTTGACATCCTGGAGCCTCTGCCTATAGAGCAGGAGCCTATTTGCTTAAGCATCATGTAAGTGATGTAGACATACAGGTAGAGAGGCTGTAGGAAAACCTCTCAGCTATGCCTACACAGTAACTTCTCTTTGTGTATAGGTGGAATTTTTCCCCAGTTGCTGCCAAAATCTTAGCCTGCTTTCAGTAAAGGCAGAGCAGGAATGAAAATCTTTGATGCAAGATGCTCCCAAATACACCAAACAGGCAACACAGCAAAAACACATCAGGAAGTTGGTTGTGTCTTTCACTAAAATGCAATCAAATCTCCTTCACCTCTAGTATTCAGTGAAGGTTTATCAAGGGTGAAACTGACAGTGGCTTACCAGGCAGCTTAGAGGAAAGTGATTTTAACTCATGATTTCAGAACTGCAAATTAACTTTTTCTGACTTGAAACAATCTCATGACAATCAGGACTAAATTGTTTTAGCATGTAGAATATCACCCACATGGGGTGAATTCTGCCTTCAGTTTCAGCTGGGGTACCTCTCCTGTCGCTTCATTTTCAGCAAAACCTTAGGTTCAGTGAGACAAAAAGAAGGTGTTTTGGGGCATCTCTGTGGTGTGTTTACAGGGCTGCTGACAGGTTTTCCCGGTTACTTGCTCCCTGGTTTTGTGTCTTGGGTTTTTTTTGGGAACCGAGTTACAGAAGGAAGAGCTTGCCTTGAGCTCATTGTTGATGGAAGACAAAAATACAGGGAAAAGCTTTTAGCACGCACTTTTTCATAAGCACTGCTGTGCTTCAGTCCCCACCAGCTGGTCCTGTGCCACTGCAGCCACTTTGTACAGCCACTTTGTGCAGCCACTTTGATATATATTGAACTTTTTGTTCATACCCTTCTCCTGGCTAATGTTTCTGTGAAGCATGTCATTCTCACTGCTCCTCAATAAGTAATATGCCACCCTAAATAATCAGGGCACTCAGCACCTCTAATCCTCCCTAATTTTTCCTACACTTAATTGCCCCACCACTGTTTATATGGGAAGAAAGAGAGGCTGAGGTACTGCTACAAACTTGATCCTGAGCATTCCCAACACCCAGCTCTATCTTGTCACTAAGCAAAAAGCCTGGTTACCTATGCACAGACTTTTCAAGAGTTGTATGGCTGAGATGGTCCGTGATCTCCTCAGGTCGAGACCTGCAGCTTCCTTCCAAAAGGAAAATTGAAAAAGAACAAGACCTCACACCGTCAAGCTGAGTGCCTCCATTTTCAACTATTAAATGATCATGAAAATTTTAAAACTGACTAGTTGCAACCAAACTTGACACAATTAAAAGTTTCAGGAATAATTTTGCTCCTGAAGCTCAGCAAAATTCAGTGCCACAGTCATTTGATCAACTTGCCATTTCTGCTTGGTGCCCAAGCAGAGTCTTTAAACTTTGGCTGAGCAACATCTGTGACAGAAGTCTGGCAACTTTCATCGACATCAGAGGGGAAAATTAAAACCATAAATGAAGCCACAGTGAAGTAGCAGTATCACAGCTTGCCATGGGTCTGCTTCACAAAGAGTTGGAGATCAGCCTGGCTCTCCCTCTGGGCACACAGGGCTCTTATCATACCAAACTCAAGCTGTGCTGCAGATCCATCAGGTACACCCCTATCACGGCTGTCCTCGGAAGACAAGATGCTATTAACTCTTTACACCCTAAAGCAGCATCTTTGTTGAGATCAGCGGCTGTGTACACCCCCTCGGATGGATATGCGGAAAGCTTTCCTGTCGGAGGCAGCCCGAGGGATCGGAGCCCGTGTGAGCGCAGGCCCGGGGCGCGCTGGTTCAGGGCCGGGAGGTGCGGGGCTGTGCTGCGGGTCCCGGCCGCGCTCTGCCTGCAGGCACAGCCTGCCCGCGGGGTCAGCCACCCCGCCTCGGAACGGGCCGCTGCGCCAACAAAAACTGGGCAAAAGTTACTGAGCACAGGGCACAGCTGCGATTGTGAACCCGGCTAAGCTACAGCCCAAAAGGAAAAAAAGGAAATTCAGCAAGAAAGAGCCTGGACAAGCGCTGAAGCAGACAGGGGAAGGCACTCACCTGCGTGCACAGAAGCTGCTGTCAGGTAGTCGCTGGTCCAAGCAGAAGCAGGGCGGCTGATGGGGGCATGTGCCTTTTATACTGGAGGGAAGTGGACTTGAAGCAGGGAGGGGGAGTCAAGAGGTGGGCCAGCAGGACGTCAGCAGTACCGGCGAGCAGGATTTAAATTTACAAAAGGAGGGGTAAGGGAGAACGGAGGCTCTGTTAAAAAGCCACTGATCAGGGCAGGGAGCAGGGGTTGAAGGCAGGGCCAGAGGATTTTGGAGGGGGGTGGCATGGCAGGATAGATGACTGAGCCCCCAGGCCCACCAGGAAGACAGCAGAGGGAAGGGGGCTGCTGCCATGTCCCTATGGGGGGGCGGGGGGAGCAGCTACATCTGCAAAGGACAGCCAAGCTCTCTGTGCTGCCCAGCCGAGATCTCTGTCTGAAGAGCATGTCTGCAGGGGGAAACACTCGTGGCTGAGGATGAGTTGTGGGGAGAAAGAACAGATGAACAGTGGGGAGGTATAAGAGCCAGCAAGCTGGGACAGGCAGTCCACACACTCCTTTCCCAGCCCTTGTTCCTCTTGCTGTTGTCCCATCTTTGCTTTTTCCTTAGCATCTTGATGGCAGCTCTTATTTCATTCAGCCCCAACCCACAGCTGGGATCAACCCACCCATGCATATGGTTTAAGTCACACTGCAACACAGCACACAATTAGCTGATTAAATAAATAGTGATTCAGCGCTTAAGCAGGCCCTTACTAGTTTTGTGGCAGAGAAAATTTCATGTGCACGAGGCCAGCATCTCAAACAATACTGTATTTCCACAATAGGTGTCTCTTCTGAGTGGTTATTTTTAACCCTGTCTCTTGACTAATGTGTCACCGCGGCCTTGCTGTCAGGGATCTTGCTGCTCTGGAAGCTAAGCCCTTGCTTACTCTGGAGCTTTGCAGGGGAGAGCAGCTGAACTGGCAAGTCCTGCACTCCTTGGGCACCATCCTGCAGAGAGGCTGAGATGTGAAGCGTAACTGGGCTGACTGGGAGCCACAGGCCCTCTCCTCACAGACCCATGTTCATGTTCTGTTCATGTTCTGTTGGTGAGGTACCCAAAGGAACACTTTTAAGGCTGTGCTTTGAAAGGGGGCTCTGAGGCCTGACCCCACCTGTAAACTGAGATTGCATAGGAAATCCTGCAATCCCACTAGGATGAAGTTCAGTAGCAAATATGTTGCGTTTTTCTATAAAGACACTTCAAGTTGGGAAAACATCAAAGCACAAATAATGCTATTTCACTGTAGGCACCTCTCAAAAGAAATGAAATTATTTTATTTGCTATGGGTAATGTGTAAGGTACTTCTATGAGGAAGCATGGTGAAATGTTGCCTGACCCTGCCCTTACTCACCATCCAAGCACCAATATCACTGGGAGAGTACAGTCACTAATTGCAGGGGTTTTTCATTTCTGTATAATAGTTTGGTTTATGAGTACATGTATGAACGAAAACTGTAAAGAAACCTGAGAAATACTCTTCCATTCTCCAATTTGCCCCCAACAGCAGCTAAAAGAAGTGTCTTCCTCATCCAAGTTTTCAAGAGTTTACTCAGACTACTCAGGATCATAACTTCAAAATATGAAGAGCACTTCAAGTCCATGGTAGCACAAAAGGTCTTCCTACAGCTATTAGAATCAATAATAGATATACATGCTTTTCTCAGAAATCTCCTTTTAGCGTGTTCCCTTTGAACCTTGCAAACACTCCCTACCTAAAAATCAATCAGCGTCCAAGAACCAGGCAGTGGCTGTGCTTCTGCTGTGCTAATTTTGTGTGCATGTGTGCAGAGGGTATCTTCTTAGTAAATAAAACTCTTCATGGCTTCTCATTGTAGATCTTTTCCCTTACTGCTTTTCACATTCATTTTGATCAGAAAATGTGAGTATCTTTTCATGGTCCCTAGTGGGCAATTGCTGGAGTAAAGGTTTCTTTTCTCCAGGGTATACAGGATATGGGCCTTTCTTCCTTTGTTGTTTTGCTAGTGATCCTGTCATCTTAAAATAGAAGCAAAAGTTTTTTCATCCCATTTACTTTTTCTAGTCCTGCTGACACTGCAATATGAGCCTTTCCACAGCACAGATCATTTTCACTGATTGTCACCTGCATGGAAGTTACCATATAAAACAAAATTA